AAAAAAATGTCTTGATATTTTTGTTATCATGATAACAAAAATTTTAAGACATTTTTTGAGATATTCAAAAAAATGTCAATCCTTAATTACAAATTTTTTTGCAAATGTTTTTTATTATAAATTCAGTAAAGAATTCTTAAAAAATCTATATTGCATAAAACATTTATATTCTGTATTAATAAATATGGAATATAGATTTTTTTAAAGTTTTTTACTGAAAACTTTAAAAAAATACTACTTTTTATTAAAAACATTGCAAAAAATATGTAGTTAAGGATTGACAAACAATTTTTCATGTTGCTAAATATTTAGATAAAAAGTTTAGCGTCAAATTAATTGCTATAAAAAGGAAAGATATATCGCAATGAAAAGTTACAACAATTATTTTTAAATTCTTTTTTTAAATAAATATCTTTACATATCGCTATTTAAAAGTTAATGTGGTTTTTTTAAAAATTAATTACTTCTTTTATGTTACCGCTAATTTAAAAGTTAAAAAATAATAAAAAGTAGCTTAACCAAAACAGCTCTACGCGTACGTAAAAATCGCTAAAGACGTACGTAAATCGTTCTAGGCATAACGCTTTAAAACAAGGCCTGCGTAAGTAGCTTGAATATCGAGTCCTTCCATATACATAATCCTCATAAATCTCTGATCGCTAAGAAACTCATGTTCTTTCTCTGGTACCTTCTTTGCTTTTTCACAGATGCATTTAGAAAAATCAAGGCATTTGCATGCTGCAACGTCAAATAAAGTATTTTCTGCATGCTTTTGAAATGTTATTATTTTCAACTTCAATTTATCTGTATGTTTCGCTTTGTTAAAAGACTTCATAATATTTCTATACTTTTGATTGTAATCAAGAAACATTTTTACAATGCGTTTATGAGACACAGTAGGTATCGATGCTTTTCCCCACAAATTTTCTATTTTGTGCGCCAAATTTTCAGATATTTTTTTCAAAGAAGGTTGTTTTCCACCAGTTTCCACTCTTATTTTCTGCATTGACAAAAGATAACTTAGCATGACATGTTTGTATGTTGGCAAGACATTTGCTCGTAAGTCTGTTGGTGAACCAAAGATAGGACAAGTAGACTTTTTTCTTGTTTCAGAACTAATAAATTATAACCTGTACTTTTAGCTAATTTTCTAATAATGCTGATGGTGATGGTAATAAATGACGTAATTAGTGACATTTTACATACATACTAATGTCATTTTAAAATCACCGCTGTAACCATTGGCATTTTTTAGTTTATTACATTTTAATTACTTTTGTTCCATTGTTGTAACAGTGAAGACAGGTTACGACAAGTGGAAGCATCAACAATATAATTAAAATTGTTTTAAATAAAAAAAAAGTGTTTTTCGTCAAAACTCAGCACACTAGCATCAACTGAAGACATTAAAATATTTTCTTAAAAATTGTAACCATTTCTAACTTAGTCATTGTTTAATGTTTAAACTCTATTACAACTCTAGTATATGCATAGAATTTTTTATTTTTATTTTGTAAAAAAGGTCAGAAAACATGTTTTTCTACGAAAAATAAAACCCTAGCGCGAACTGAAGACATAAAAAAAATAAATAATAATTTGGCACAATTCCTTTTTATATCATTATCCAACTTTTCCGCTCTATTACAATTTCAATATTTAACCTTAAATTTTAATATTTTTAGATAAGTAAAAAATGTCAGAGTAAAATGTTGTGTAGTAAGAGCTTTATATAGAGATTGCAATAAAATATCATGTTGTAGAATGGTAGGAAGAACTAGACTAAAAGATACTAATATTAAAGTTTTAATTTAAAGAATAGGGTACACTTTTAAACCAAATGAGGAGGATATGTTTTCACCATAAAAAAGCCTTTATTTCTAGATATAAAGCACTTCAAAAACACTTTTGAGATCCATTTAAAGTCCACGAGAAAAAATTATCAAGGGATTGTGTAAAGTCAGCATATCAATAGCAAATCAACTTGAGATCAAATCTGGTCAAAAAGTTTGTACTAACTGTATAAATGAATTTAAACTTGAAAAATTACAGAAGTCCTTCAAGATGAAGCTGCTGAAGAAGATTTTAATTATTCAGACCTTGATAAGACAGTTCTTAATAAAAGTCTTTATTGGAAATATCTCCACTCAAAAATGTAAGTTCAACTCAAATGTAAATACTATCGAACAATTTCTGACGATCTTTGTAACAGTTATTTCCTATGATCAAAATCAAACTACCCAAAATCAATAAAGTAAAATACTTAAACTTTTAACACATAATTTTAATTTTTTCCACAAGTGGTTGCTCAAAGTACACAAAAGTAGAAAAAAATTGGTACTGTCTGTCTATAGGTATTGAATTGCATCACATAAAAGTTTCCAAAAATTTTCCTATTACTGCATTTTATAGTAACTTTAGGGTACAATAACTCATCAGTTCCTCAAAGCCAATCAAAAAGACCAACAAAATTGGATTATTTGGGTTAAAAACTATCAACATACAAAATTTCATAATTTTTTAATAAAAAGTATTCGACAAACAAAAAAGATTAGTAGCAATTTTATAAAAATGCTTTCATTCTGGCAAGTGCTTTTTTATGCACTCCCCAAGTTTTTTGCGAGCGTGTGGGCGAACGCAAAAAGACTTTAGTGCAAAAGCGCTGGCTAAACGGAGAAGACTATACATACTATTCATTTTTTGACAAGACACATTTAGTATATTTTGGAGCCTAATCCAGAGTCTCAGCTTTCAGATTTGGAACTTAAAAGTGATGAAGAGCACAATAATAATCTTTCAGTCGATAACCATATAAATTACAAGATAAGTATATGTAAAAAAGATCTATATACAACTGAAGATATTTATTTGTAAGATTTGTTATTTGTTACAAAAATTGTTATTGAATTTAAAACTATAGATAAGCGAAATACAAGCAAATAAACTTTATAATTTGTCTCACCTAAGGCAATAACACAAAATTACAAATGGCACAATAAAACACTACCTATTAAAGATACTATTTTTTCTAGTGTTGTGAATTTATAAAATTGCACCAGATCATATTTGTTAAAATTGCCTTGCTATAGAGCCAGAAACCAGTCATTCTATTGACAAGCAAATAATTCCAGCTAAAACTCATTTTAGTGGAATAAGGCAATATAATCCTAAAAAGCAAGTAAAGTGGAGACTTAAGAACTTTGTTCGTAGTGGAATTTCAGGAATTATATTTGACTTCTATTTATATGCCGGTGCATCAGCAATTGGCTCTGAAAATGTAATAGCTCATATGTTGCAAAACCAATAATAGAATCCTTACCAAAACTATTAGTTTTGCAATCATGTTTACATTTCAATTATAAATGATATAATACAAGCTTGCCAACTAAAAACGAAATGAAAAAAAAAGGAAAAGAAACCATGGATATAAACGTGATACCAATTCAGAAATAATAATCACCAAATGGTATAATAACAAATGTATCAACATGTGCTCAACATATTGTGATCCAGATTCAGTATCTGATGTTAAAAGATGGAACCGTGCTGAAAAAAAAATTGTCAACATAAATTGTTTATCAGTAGTAAAAGAATATAACCAATGCATTGAGGGGGTGGGTGGGTGGACATAGATTTATGTGAAATGATTATTTTACTGTATCACACTAATATTAAAACAAAGCAGTGGTACACAAGCTGACTTTGCTTCAGTTTATGACACAAACTGCATCTAGCCTTAATTATGAAGAGAAACCCCTAATGGCAGTTGGCAGACAATCTGAAAATAAACTGACGTAATAACACCATGGAAGTGAAAGAATTCAATCCATTTACCAAATCGAGATTTTGATTCAATTTGATTGTTTAAATCATTGCCCCAAGAACTGTCAAAAAAACTTAATTATCAATTATGTAAAGTTTGAAATAGCATGGTTTTTCGAAAAAAAAATGCAACATTTGTTTATGTTTAAATTAAAAAAAAATTGTTTTCATTATTTTTATGTAAAACATTTGTATTAATTTGTTTTAGGTTTGTATATTCAAATAATATTATTGTTATTTTTCTTTAAAAGTACGAAACCGCCAAATGGCTATCATTTGTCATTTAAAAACTGCTGATAGTAGAAAAAAATTTTATATTTCCAAATAATGATATAAAACAAGATTATTTGCAAAAGAAATATTTTTTTACTTTTCACATAGTGAACCTTTTTTTCTTATAGCGAACATAGAAGTATATATATATATATATATATATATATATATATATATATATATATATATATATATATATATATATATATATATATATATATATATATATACATATATATATATATATATATAAATTAGTAGAAAATCACTTAACAAAATTTTTTTTTCATTTTACACTGTGTTTCATCAACAAAGACTCATCAGAAATGAATGATCAAATTAATAAAACTTCAATTTATACCAAAAAATTAAATTACAAGAAGTCGCAAATGTTTTAACCACTGTAAATTTTCACACATTTGTGGACACTATTATAAAAAGAATTCTTTTGAAATGATTACTTAAGGTGAGTTTCCACTCATCCGTTTTTCTACGGGAAAAGGAAAGGGAACGGAAAAATATTCACGCGAGCATGCGCAGTTTTCTTTCGGACAAATAAAAACTTTTATTTTATTTTATTAATAATAAAAAACTTTGCCTTTATTTAAAAAAGTCATAAAAAATGTTAAATAAATATTGCTTATTGTAGATTTACTTTTAACATAATAGCTGTTAAAAAATTCAAATTAAGTTATTAAATTTGTTAACTTAATAACTTATTTTGAAAATTATTTTTGAAAAAATCAACCTTATGCCAATTATTATTTTCATTAAAAACTAAAATATAAAAAACAAATAAGTTACCATAAAAGCTGAGTACCAACTTTTTAAATAAATCTCTAATTAAATATTGGTTTGCATCTGTCTTAATGTAATTTTTAAAATTTTTTAAAATTCAAAAATTTTACCATTTTCAATAATCTGTGATGTAAACTTGTCAATTAGCTCAACAATTCTGTCATCTAACTCTAATGTCCATGTAACACCAGGTCTAGCCGTAAGCAAAAGTTTAAGAGCAGACAATAAAGATTTTCTTCCATCATGGTATAATAGTGCTGCAACCAAATTAGTGGACATACCTAATAATTAATAAAATAATTTTTTGAAATAAATATTTGTTTAAAAAAATATTTATTCTACTTTCTTTTAGTAAAATTATAACCTGGAAAATTTGACGCTTGTTGTTCTCCAGCGAGAAGAAGCTCAACACATGTAAATTCATTTAACTGTAAACCATCACTTAAGAGAAAGGCATCTTGAATCATTGACTCTTGAAGTTTAATTACTGAAACATGGCCATCTATTTGAATCCCCTCTTTATTTGCTTTTTTAACTTTTTCTCTATGACAACTATCTTTTTCCTAAGAATAAAATTATAACTTTCTTTTTTCATTTATAAATAGTTTTTTTTTTTATTTCTTATCTGTAAACAAACAAAAGCTTTAATAAAAACTAGTAAAATTATAAATTAGTAAGTAAATTATAAAAGTAAATTTTAAAATTTATATACTAATTAACTTAAAGAGAAACTAAAAAACTAAATGAAAAAATCTAAAACAACAAAATAGCATATACCTGGTCTTTTAGTAATGTCAAAAAAATTGGTTTGTATTTGGTAAGTACTTCATCAAGTTCAGCATATATCTCAGACTGCTTGTACACTATAGCTGATTCACAAATATGAAGTATTTCTTTAGACGACCACATAATTAAAGTATGCTATAATAAAATATTAAACTTTAAAAAAAAACTGCAAACATGGTTAAAGGTAACTTTTAAATACAATTTTGAAATAAATGATAATATTATTAACAATTACAATAAAATAAACTTTAACTATTTTAATAGTAGAAAATAAATTATTTTTCATATTTTCTTAAACTTTATGACTAAAAGGCGTATAATATGAAAAATAATTTTCCAAAATCTCAACCAAATACATAAGCATTTAAAGAACATTTTATTCTAAAAACCTTAACTATCGAAAAAGTAAAGACTTCAGAACAGTTTAAAACTTTATGAACCTTGTAAAGCAATAGCTGTCTAAAAATGTTTTCAAAGTAAAATAAAGAAAATCTGAACTACGACAAATATTCCCTAAGTTGAATGAAAAAAAAATGAAAATAATAATTTATTAACTATACTAAAAAAATTGCAAAATAAACTAAAGCAAAATTAAAAATTTTTTAAATAATTATAAAATATACTTTTTTAATAAATTACATGTGCGCAATTCTGATGCGCTTTTACAACTAATCCGGCATTTTATGATTTTTTCCCGGCAAATATAAAAACAATTTTTTAAATAACTTTTAAAAATGTATAGATTTTTGTATTTAATACATATACGCGTATAAAAACATCTTTCTTGTATAATAATAACATAAAATATACTTTGTTTCAGCTGTAACAATATCAACAACAATAACAATAGCAAATCATTTACAGCATTAAAATTATTTTGGCAGGTAATATTACCTGTTGAAATCATTTTAAAGATTTAAACTGTTAAAGATTTGCTATCGTTATTGTTGCTATAACAATAACGAACCAAAAAAATGTGCTATTAGTACAAATTATTTTTTCACCTATTACAATAGGTACTAGACTCAAAAATGCTAATTATACCATTTTTGAGTCTGTTTTTGTTATAATAGCGTCGGTTATAGTTATAAATAACGTTAAAATTCGTTACAACGTTAAATAACAACTTTATAACGATATAACGGTTATTTGTTAAGTATACATTTTTTTTAAATTGATTTTGGGTTGGTTCCGGTTGGGCATGCAGTACTCTGGTATACTCAGGTTGGTTAAAAAAAAGTATGGTTTTAATAACCCCCTCCCCCTACACACACCCTTTTTTCTGAAGGACCTTTTTTTTTTTTTATAAGAAAATTCTAGATATAGAAGACTTTTTTAAGAATTGAGAATTGTACCTCCCCCCCCCCCTTACCCCCTAATTTGAAATCGGCCCTATCCATCTATATATATATATATATATATATATATATATATATATATATATATATATATATATATATATATATATATATATATATATATATATATATATATATATATATATATATATATATATATATATATATATATATATATATATATATATATATATATATGTATATGTATATGTATATATATATATATATATATATATATATATATATATATATATGTGTGTGTATATATATATATATGTGTGTGTATATATATATATATAGGGTAGATTAGGGTAATATGAGCATAATTAAAGATTTCATAGATGTAAGAAGCGAAGTTAAAATTGCTTTGTATTTTTCCAATCAACTTTATGTGGTGATAACAGGAATCAGTATAAATAGCGTAAATTTATATGCAGTAATTGGCGGCTGTCATGTAATTAAAACGCTGATAATTTTTTTACGTTGTGAAAATAATTTTTTTGCGTTGAGAATAAATAAAATCAAATAAATTCAAAAATAATATAGAAACATTTAAAAAACCTACAAATCCACTAACTAAAAAAATCCTATCAATATTAAGTATGGCGGTAACACTCTAAGAATTAAAAAAAAATGATGAAGGAAATCTAATTTTAAACAGAATTCTTATTCAATTCAGAATCGCGGACCACATTTGTGGAAAAGATTCCCAAACATTGTTTCCGAAAAGAAAACTTCTCTACATCAGTTCAAAACTGATTCAAATAGGCAGTTTAGGCAATATTTATAGCAAATTTAAATATTTTTTATATTAAATGCATTATATTCCTTAATATATTTCATTTTCAAAATGTTTTCAACCACCTCTGTAGCTTATTTAGTTCCAAAGATATACGTGTTTTAATATTTTCAATTCATAGACTTTTTATGAAATATTTTCTTAAAGTATCTCGTTCAATTTTTGGCACCGAAAAAAAAAACTTTTTTTTTTTTTTTTTTTTTTTTTTTTTTGCGTAAAAAGTTGCGTAAACTAACTTATAATAAAATTTTATTAGAAAATAAATTGTAAATCTAAATTATTTGAACAATTCATAAGTAGAATTTTTTTGGGGGTTAACGCAGACGTACCATGAAATAGTCAAATAACTGTATAATATGTTTAAATATGTTTTAAACTTTTTTGACACAAAATAAATTTTCAAATGTTTTAATTTATAATACGTTGAGCGTAACAAAACTTTGATGATAAATATTAAATTAAATTAATTTTATTTTTCTTAAATAGATTATCAATTGAACAACGTGGACCCAAATAAAACACGCCGAAAACGTCAAAATATGTACAAAATAAACATAAATCTAAAATTTATTTTTACACAAACAAATAAAGAAATTAGTCAAAGACTTGTTAATAATTTCAGTATTGTTATAGATTTAAAAAAAGATTTAACCACTTATAGTCTACTGATTCGACTAATTTATTGTTTTCAGCACCTATCATAATATAAAAAATGTTATATTTTTTAATGGGGTTAAGGTTTTTAACTTTTTTAAAAATTTTGAAAACAGTGAATGAAAAACTCGTTGAATTGTTCTATTTCAATGTGTTTGGCTTTATTTGATTGTGAACTCTCGAGTCCTTAATTCCAAGGAGGGGGGGCGTTTATTAATTTTGGGGAAACTTTGCCACCCACACTAAGCTTATTAAAACCCCCCACCCGTTTATTAATTTTTACTAGTTATTAACAAAAAAATTATATCTAAAAACTAAAAAAAAATTAGTGAAAATCAGCTTTAAAAATCAAAAAATACATACTAGTTACTGATAAGTAATAAAACTTTCAGTGTAAATTCTGACCCTCCCCTCCCCCGGTTCATTAAATCTTGACTAAACTCCTCCATCCACTTTTATTAACCCCATCCCTCTTGTATTAAGAAATTGAGATTACATAGATTAACAGATACGGAATTAACATAGATTAACAGTCATGGAAATTAACAGTCATGGAAATTCTTATACGGATTATCTTATCTATCTAATTGTCTTAAACTTTTTAATAGATGTCTTAAATCGTTTTGTCTTTGAAATAAATTATCGCACTATTAATGTACCCAAATTTGACTATATGTTGCAAACTCAGAAATTTCACTTTTCAAAATTCATTTAAAACTTAGCATACTTCATATCGGTAAATTTACTGAAAAAATATTTTAATTATCGAATTTCAATTCAAACTTCAGAGTAAGCTGTGTGTGTATTGTTAACAAACAATTTTATACATAATTTGCCTTGGCTATTCCGTTCATAAATTAGACAAAATTGTCTAACTTACTTAACGAAGTGCACCAACGAGAAGGTAAGCCATAGGACTTTGCACTCCATCCGTGAGCTGTCATGTTGCCTAAGGTTAGCCCTCCATTTCTGGATTCTTTCCTTTACTTGATAGGCAGTTCATGTAAAAGTAATAGTAAATTAGCCTAAGGTTAGCCCTCCATTTCTAGATTCTTTCCTTTACTTGATAGGCAGTTTATGTAAAAGTAATAGTAAATTAGCCTAAGGTTAGCCCTCCATTTCTGGCTTCTTTCCTTTACTTGATAGGCAGTTCATGTAAAAGTAATAGTAAATTAGCCTAAGGTTAGCCCTTCATTTCTGGATACTTTCCTTTACTTGATAGGCAGTTCATGTAAAAGTAATAGTAAATTAGCCTAAGGTTAGCCCTTCATTTCTGGATACTTTCCTTTACTTGATAGGCAGTTCATGTAAAAGTAATAGTATTTTTGCATAAGCTTTTTTTTTTTTTTTTAATAATAATAATAATGTGCAGTTAAGCTGCAAATAAACAACAACAAATAAACAAAATTGGAACTGATGAACATATCAGATATGATTCATACTATTTATAAATATCAAAACCACAGAACTCAAATTCAGTAAAAACACTTTATTTGAACATAACAATAAAAGAAATAAGATTAATATATACTATAACATTATTCTAAATTTACATTAAATAAAATTACCGTGCAATCTTAGCTACAAAGAATAAGATCACCTTTTTCAAAATCTATTAATAAAGGAAATGACCATACTTCATCAGGTTCATTATCATACTTAACAATGTATGTAGTTCTTCTACCGTTTAATTGATCAATTTGAACCAATTGCGCACGTTCCCAAGATACTTCATGAGCATCTTCTTCTCTAACACGATGTTGTATAGAAAAACCTACAAAATCAGATGGATTGTTAATAAATTTTGATAAAGAGTGCTTTTTTTGTTGCTCTATTAATTTGTTTAGTCTTGCATCCTGAATTTTTTCCATTAATTCTTTTTTTTTTTGTTTTCAACAGCTGCATCACGCATTGTACGAGACTTTAAATTATTACTTATATTATTACTTAAAGATTGTTTGTTTGGTGTTAAATTTGCTTGAATAACAATAAGAAGATTTTGATATAATTCTTCTGAAGACAAGTTTATTCTTTTGCTTCCTTCTACCTTTGTTTTACAAAAAAGTTTTTTGTCACATTCGACACCTAAGATTATGCGATAAAAATTAAGTTGAGCTAGGAGTACTTTTGATTTCAATGGCTCTTCTATATTAAAAACTGTTTTCTCTGCTTCCTCTAATGATATCCAAGCCCTTACATTTAAATTTATCAAATCATTACAAACTGCAACCTTTTTATGTTGTAGTTTAATTTCTTCTCGATTTTTTTCTTCTTGCTTTGCTAGAAGGTGCATAGCTTTATCTTTTTTAAGAGCTTCTTTTCTTTCATCATATTTGCTTTTCATTAATGTTACTTTAGTTCTTGAATATTCAAGCAATTGTTTTCTTTCTTCATCTGATTTACCATTAAGCCATTCTAATGTTTGGTTCTGAGACCACATTGTCAAAGCCTGGATAGTTTGAACATTTGCATTGGGTTTTGTGCGAACCATTAAATCAAAAATGGCAAAGTCACTTTCTGATGTTTTGTTAGTGACAGGGACATTAGAAGCAGCTTCAGAAACTGAGTTAGATGGATTCAAATGTTTACCACCTGGTAACTGATCAGCACACTGCCGTTCCAAAATAACAAGAATCGCATGGAAAATAATTTCAAGTGATTGAACAGTTAAAGAATCAAACTCATCATTTTGAGTGCATTCAAACAGCTTGGTGTAAACCACATCTTGATGAAGAAGATTGGTATCCTCAAAAATTTTTCCATTAGCAAACAATAAAGAAGACGCATCGATACAAAGAGATGAAAGTCTAACTTTCAAGCGAAGTAGGTAGGGGTTTAAAAATAATATACTATCAAGTGATTCGATAATTCTCCACATTGGACCAGTAAGTAGTTTGTCAATAATACCTAATGCACGGACTTCAGCAATGAATACAAGATTTGTGATATCTTCCTTAATTGCTTTTAATAAATTATTAGGGTTAGGCCAAGCATTAAGAAATTCTGTTATAGAATCCTTATGATAGTATAGGGCAGCTGCATTGTAATACAAAATATTAAATCGATTTCCAATAAATGGAACAAAATAAGATTTATCGTTACGAGAGGAAAGAAAAGAATTAAACCATGATGCAACACCAGCTTCCTCACTACCCCTTGAATGAAATGCCTTACATGTAGTACGAACTAACCGTACAGCACCACATTCTTTACCACTAAAAGCAAAAACAGTTTCAAAATCATTTTGAAGCAGAATTTTTTCAAAAGAATTCAAAACTTTATCAATTTCAGAAGCAAAATTAGCGAGCAAATGAAGTTTACAGAAAAAATTACTCATGTCCTTCATATTGTCTTTGACGTTTGAGGAAAGAAAGTCCCAGTTACTAATTGCAATAGGCAAAAGTTTTTCCCTTAATGTTTTTAACTGTGAGTTAAAAAGAGGATTAACCGAAGAAAGATCAGACATTGTTGATTTTATTGATGTTATTAGTTTAGCAAAATTAATTTCTTTTTCAGTGGCTGAGTTGCTAACAACGTCACAAATGTCATCTACTATATTAGTAAAGTTTTGCAAAACAGTTGCTGCATCTTTGCCAACCACTTCTGACAGACCAAAAGATAAAGTTTTCCCACTAGTTGTAGTAATTTGAAAGTTTTGATAATGCTTATGGTATTTCTGAGTACCATCACCATGCAAACAATTGCCTATTTTAGAGTTTTTATTTATCAAATTATTTTCAAGCATTGCTTCTGCAACTTGAAATTGACCTAAAATTGAAGCTTCCTGCATTAACCTACATTTTACAGCGGCTGATGGCAGTCTAGATATGTTCTTTTTGGATAGTTTGTTTAAAACTACTTTTATGACTTCATTGACACTATTCATACTCACGTTCATTGAAAGAAGTTTCATTATTGTTTCTCGAATGTCATCACTGTATCTGCCATCTTCAAATGTTATTACTTCGTCATCATCCAGCAAAGAAACCAATTTTTGAAGTTCTAGATTCTCCTCTTTTAAAATGTTTGTCTTACTATATAACGAAACAACTTCCTTCTCTAAACTTATAACATCTTTCATATTGTTGTCATTAATATAGTTGGTTTTATTTTGCAAAATAATTTTTAAATTACTCACTTTTTTTTGCAGCTTTATTTTTTCGTTTTTTAATTCAGAAATGTTTATATCTGAGTTTTCAAGAATGAATTAATATCTGTTATTTATTTTTTAATTGCAATATTATTTTTTTTTCTTCATTTTTTAACGAATTTATTTTATTCTTTTTTATTTCCAGCTGAGTATCACGATATTTTATTTTTTTATTTAAATTTCTAACATTAAATGATTCTTTTTTTGACTTTAATAGCTCTTTTTTGTTTTCACTATTATTAAGCTTTTCTTCTTTTTCACAATAACACTCTTTAATAAAGTTTAATTCAGCTTCTATTAGAGAGTTTTTCGAAATAAGTATTTTTAGATTGTTTGACATATCTTCAAAATCTTTTAGATGTGTAAAATAATCCATTTGTAAATCCATCATAGATTCCATTTTCCTTTTTAAAATTTTATTTTCTTTTTTAAGCATTTTGTTTTCGCTTATCAGTATTGTTTCTTTAGGAGTTTCTGATGCACTCACTGTATTATCAGAAAAATTTGCCACAGGTGGAAAAAAGCCTTCACCTAATAACAATGCTAATTTTTTATTTTTTCGTTGTTTCTTTAATTTTCTGATGGTGTCAACTAATCTATTTATCTTTTTGGCTAAAGCTTTCTTGCAGCAGAACAGTTCAACTTTAAAATCCAAACAATATCTACAATATATTGCATCATAAGATGTATCTTTTAAAGCCAAATACCAATCATAAATACTTTCATTTATCATTTTATCTAAATAAATAAAGATTTTCCAGTCATCAATTCGAACAAATATATAAACATATAAATATATTATTTCAAAGTCTTTTACTTATTATATATATATATATATATATATATATATATATATATATATATATATATATATATATATATATATATATATATATATATATATTATATATTTATATATATAATAACTTTGAAATAATATATATTATATATATATATATATATATATATATATATATATATATATATATATATATATATATATATATATATATATATATATATATATATATATATATAAACTTAAAAATTAAGTAAATTGTATAAAAAGAAAATTGCTAAGTTACAAATTAGACTTACTGATAAACTGCTGAGATTCGATTGCTAATTGGTTAGCAACAACCACATTAACAACACAAAACAAACTCACTTTAGAATACCTTAAGTTAAAATTTACAATAAAATCTCAGCTATATAAAATACGCCGTGGATAGAGTACCGAAAGTCGGTACTATAAGAAAATTTTCTTATAGTACCGGAAGCGCGTCTATTGGTTGCAAAAGTCACGTGTGAAAACAAATTCCGATTTTAGATAAAAACTAAATGACATTTCAGTTAACAAATTTCAGTACTAGGATAATTTAGGATAACTGATTCTAGTTTAATAATTTGTTATAGCTTAAACATAGGAATTTGTAATTAAAATATTAAAATTGTAAACAATGAAGAAATATGTGATTAATTATCAAAATCTGTGTTCAATCTGTAATAAGAAGTCATTAAACATTAATTGGAGGATGTACCTACAAAACACCTACCACCTCAACAAAAGATGTTTCTGTTGAGTTAAATATAAATTGTTTGTAATCTTTTCCAAAGAATCCCAAAATTTAAGTTGTAATTATCGGTGATTTTAATCATCATGACATTAATTAGAGTAAGACTTGAAGGGTCTGGTGAACTATAGTACTGTTATATTCAAATATTTGATTGATCAATATATATAATCGATTGGTTATATATATTAATAGCTATATCATACAAAATATAATTGAGCAAAAGTTTTCAAAATCTATCTACAATATCAAAAATTAAACCACCACACTTGGTCCAATTTTTGGTATATGGTAACCATTTAAATTTTTATGTAAACTTTAGAACTTTAATTCAATAACAGAAACAAAATTTATTTTGACAATCCAAAACAAACAAGTTGTATTGTAGAAAAACAAGGTCTTTCTCAATTTGCCAAAATCAATTAAATCCCAATCAAAAGCAGATGTTTTTGGCATTCAGGAAATGCTGGCTTACAAATATTTTAAAAACCCAAATAAGGTTAAAAAAGCATATTTTTTTATTATTTTCAGCCTCAAATAAAAATTCCATTAAAAAGATATATTCATATACTTAATTATGATATTTTCATATCTTAGTGATAGCCTAATAATCATCTTTGTAGAGGAAAAAATTGAATAAACGCTTTGTTAAAGTGATATGTACAATATAAAATTGATTATTAATGTGGGTGAAATATAAAAGCATCGGAAATATTTTACTGTAGTTGAGAACTTTTAGAGCTTTTGATATTTAGGTTGTAGGACTTTTTTTTTTTTCTATAGGAACATAGAATAAAAGTGTTTATCTTACTTTAATTAGTATAGTTATTAGTCTAACATATCGTTATTATTTTAGCCTGATTTAAAGATATTTTACTGTTATATTAATGTTTAATTTTTTTCCAAATTTACGCATATCAATATTTTGTTATGTATATATGTTTTTAAGTTCTATGTTTGCTATTTTTTATGTTCTACAAAAACTAGTATTGATTTTTTTTTGTTTTTCTTAAAAGAATTATTTGTTTTGTGCAATTTGGAAATTGTTTCTTTATTAAATTATTTTTTTCTTTTTTAGTTCATTCATGAGTTTCTGCTCTACTTCATTTTTTATGTTTAATTTGACTACTGTTGAAATATGGTTTCAATTTAGTAAATTTTTATGAATTGAAATTTACTTTATTAATCATTAGCCAACAGTGTAGGTTCAATGTTTTCCCATTACATGGTTATGGTTATGACGCTATTGCGAACCTGGGGGTACAGAGTTTGAAAGATCAAAAAATTTCAAGATTTACGTAAAATTATAATTTTTTAATATTTAATTTGAAAAAGTAACAAATTCTTACATAATATATTCCACATAATTGGTTTTTATGTATTTATATAAATTAGTGACTCTTAAATCAAATATTAATAATTAAATCAAATGCTAAAAATGTTATTAAAAATAATAAATAGATAGAATGCAATTAAAAATATACATAATAATTATAGCTATCAAAAGTTATAAATCTGAAAAAAATTTTAAATTATATTATGGAATGCAAAGTCCTATGGTTTACCTTCTCATGGTGCATTTCGTTAAATAAGTTGGATAGGTTTGATGCCTTTCTAGTTTATGAACAAAAAACCAAGGCAATTTTAGCTTATAAAAGATATTATTGCTAGTCTAGCAGTATGTCATTGGGGCTTCGAGGTTACCCACCTGGGTTCGATACCTGGCTGGATCAAAGTGAGTTTTGATTCCAGTTTACCATAATTGTTTAAATTGGAACCTTAAATTAAAATACTACCTGAGAACAGGACCTAATTGTAAAGCAGCAATTGTAATTGTTATCATTTTTAATAGATACTGTGTGTCTATTGCTACTCTACTGCCCCAATGCTGCTTTTAATTTATAATTATTTCAAAATTAGAAAAAAATTGATGGAACAACTAAAAATAAAGTAACATGTTATAATAATAAAGTAACAGGCAGTTAAAAAATATGGGAGGTTGATGTATACTTATATGTTGTAGTAACCACTAAAATTTTCAATAAATAATTGTAGAATTTTATTAGGTATTATGTTCATTAACAATACAATAATGTATATAGTACATAAATGTATAATGTACATATACATTAGGTACTTATATAGAACTGTTCCAAAACACTTTAGTTTAAATATATAAATAAAAAGTAGTTTAATTATGTAGGAGATTTTGAGTGCATTTCAATTATGAATCATTTCATACTTCATTTTGATAACTATTAGAACAGGTTACCACAGGGCTAAATATTAGTTCAAGCATTGAGCAAATTACAGACTCAGTGAGATGCATACTAATTAGGGAAGGAGGATCTAAATTTTAGGTGTGTGTATTTTATGGAAGACCTCTTACTTGTGTCTATTACCAGTGATGTTATCCAGAAGTTATTTGGGATCACTGGTTCCAAAATAACTTCTTGAAACAATAAAATACGTTGAATGCTTCTGAAAACATTCAAGAACAGTCACTGTTTGTTATGATTTTAGTTTATAAATATATTTATACTAATACAAACTGGAGTTTAGATGAAACATTTAAATGCCAGATACTGGTATCAAAATCAGCCTGGAGATGACACTGGCTACATTCAAATAATTGTGTAAAAATAGGCAAATTTTATTTTGAGTGGTGTCATAAAAAAAAAATTCTCATTATACAAAAGAGAATTAACAAAATTACCAGTAAGAATATACTTTGTAATATTACCAGTAAACTTCTTACCTTAATATTGTTTAGTTCAAATTTTCTGTAACTGTTAGCTTATGATTAACTTAGTAAATTTCAAGTAATGAAAATTTACTAAATTAAACCATGTTTCAACAGAAAGCCAACTCAAACTGGAATCAGAAGAACTAGAGAAAAAGGAAAAAAAGAATATAATAAAATATACTTGTTTTTACTTGTAACAAAATAATAATACTATAACAAATTTAAACTTCGGATTAAAAAAATGTTAAGTTCAAAAAATTCTAAAATTATATATAAATTTTTTTTATGGAAGTTGTTAACCATAAAATAAATTATTTACCTATCTTTAAATAACATTTAAGAATAAAATGACAACTATTTTACTTTGAAAGTTTCACTTGTTTTACTTACTCATGAACTTTGGAAAATAAAAAATGAAACTCTAAATCTAAATCTAAAATCTAAAAAATCTGAAGCTCTAAAAATTCTAGTTAAAATTATTTTCGGCTAAAAAAGAAAAGAAAAAACTCTGAACTATTTAAAAATTTTATAGCTCCAGTTCAATTATTTGTTTTTATCTAAAGCTCTAAAAATTTAAGTGTAAATTATTTTTGTTAAAAACTCTAAATTATCTAAACCTCTAAAAATTTCAGTAAAATCTATTTGTTGTTAAAAAAATTAAACTATCGAAACTCTAAAAAATTCTGTGCAAAATATTTGTCGTTAAAAAGTATCTGAAGCTCTAAAAATTTCAGTGAAAATTATTTGTTGTTAAAAACTCTAAACTATATAAAGCTCTAAGCGTGAAAATTATTTGTTGCTAAAAACTCTAAACTATATAAAGCTGTAAGAGTGAAAATTATTTGTTTTAAAAAACTCTAAACTATATAAAGGCCTAAAAATTATAGTGACAATTATTTGTTGTTAAAAACTCTAAACTATATAAAGCTCTAAGCGTAAAAATTATTTGTTGCTAAAAACTCTAAACTATATAAAGGCCTAAAAATTTTAGTGAAAATTATTTGTTGTTAAAAACTATCTGAAGCTACTTTGTTAAAAACTATCTTTAAAAATTTCAGTGAAAATTATTTGTTGTTAAAAACTCTAAACTATTTAAAACTCTAAAAATTTTAATGACAATTATTTGTTCTTAAAAACTCTAAACTATATAAAGCTCTAAGAATTTCAGTGAAAATTGTTTGTTACTAAAAAACTCTAAACTATACAAAGCTCTAAAAATGTCAGTGAAATTGCTTGTTGTTAAAAAACTCTAAACTATATAAAGGTCTAAAAATTTCAGTGAAAATTATTTGTTGTTAAAAACTCTAAACTATATAAAGCTCTAAAAATTCTAGTGATTCCAATAATTCTAGTTATACTAGCTTTACTTTTTCTGTATTTTGTTTTCGCGCTGGTGTTAAATCTTAAGCGGTCTATTTATATTTAGATTACAAAAATTTAGTTGAGTTTAAGATTAAGGAATAAATGAAGGAAGCAGTTGACCTGAAAAACCTATAAATTAACATACAACCTGAGGGCTCTCAATACACAATTTGTAACTATCAAGGTGTAAAAAATCCATTAGACTTAAAATCTAATAGTAAAATAAAACATCTGATGATGTTTATAACATATGAGTTAAGCACTTGATACCAAATATAATATAGTCAAGTATAACTATATTTCATTAATAAAAAATTATTCTAACAAGAATGACAAAACCAGTATTTTGATTTTAGAAGATTTCCTTCTTTCTGACCAACACATTTTTTGTGAAACCACAAAAGGCATGAATCACATCCTACTGAGTCCCCAATGTCATTACCCAAGCAAGTGCTTTTTTGGCACACAGCACAAGGCCAAACTTTTTGACGAGATTTGGTATCAATTAGTTCATGGAGTACTTTCCATCCATCTGGGGTAAAATACCCTTGTAGCGACAAAAGAGCTCCTCCAGCACTTTCATCAAGAATAGCAGATGAGATATGATTGACTCTTTTTTCAATACAATTACTTTCAATGAGAACTCCAGAAAGAGCTTTATGGACATCATCTGGTTTTAAAAACCAACCCAGCATCACTAAATACAAAGTTTTAATATTTGGTTAGTTAAAAATGATTAATTAACAAGTACATTATATTATAGAAATACTAATAAAAAAAACATCTGCATCTTTTATACATACTAGCATGTCTTTTTGATGGATGTAATTTCAAAAAAGGTACTCTTTTTTCATACAAATTAGGTTGTCGCTTTTTTGGCAAACCAATAGTGGTCAGAGTAGAACCTTTAGGTCGTCCACATCGAGAAACATGTTTCGGCACCCGAATCCTGTTCAGGTGAGACTCTACAAGAAATTTATGGTTTTTAAAGTGTGAAAATATTAAATTTGTTGATTTATTTGTATTTTAATAAAGATATATTTAATAGGAGAAATAATTTAAACTTGCACCTGCATAATTCTTCACAGATGTTAACTCTTCATGTTGAGGTTTTTCAGAAATAATAGCTTCCTCTAATAAAATGCTGTCGTTATCAATTGCATACTCTGTAGTTAATTGTGAAACATTTTTTTTAGTGCTTAAAACATTTTTATCACTGACTACTAACGGCGCTACTGAAGTGTTTACACCATTAACTCCAGATACACATCCCAATGAATTTATTGGAGATTCTGTAACTATAGTTAATGCACTAGGTAATGTACTTTCTGTTTTTGATGAACAAATGTCCACATCAATAAGTTCATTAACTAACATGACCTTTCCATCAGTCCAACCTTTTTTTAGAGATTGTAAAAGACTGAGACGTTGTTCAAAAGTCTGTCCAGTGGTTTCAGAAACAAGGGTAGCAAGAAATGATGTTTCCTGTAGAGCAAGTTTAAACTTCTCATGCTGAGAAAGGAGTTTTTTTTTTGGAGCTACATGAAACTCTACAGATCTCAACTCATCAGCCATTATAGGACTATTAAAAGCTCGTTGATGCTGCCGATAGTACTTTAATGTCCAGCGTTCAGCACATAAGTCAATATCAAATAAATTTAATCTAAGGAATTGGCGAGCAGCAAAAATATGTCTACAAGGTAAGTGCATTGACTTTCTAAACATACATGAACAAAAATTCCAAGTCACTGTATGCAGACCTTCAGTGGTATTTACCATAAAGTATTCATTTTCTCTTTGTAACAAATTAATGTCTCCACGCAAGCTCATTTGCTTTAAAACATGTTGAGCTGCATACAATGTTAGAACTTTCTTATATGCTGCCTCTGCTGAGTTGGGATCAAACATGTCAACCAGAACTTTTTGCATTTGAAAAATAGTCTTATGATCTCTCTCGTTACGCATTGATGCTAGAACAACATAAAATTTATCCAGGAAATTTTCTAAGGAACTGTTGCAGTCAATCACTTCTTTTAATTTGCCATTGAAATTTTCAAGGCGGTTGTTGGTGCTGTTCATGAAATTTCCACTAGCAAAATTTAAACCAAGAACCCAATCAACACGAATATTATGCCAGTTCTTGTTAAAATAATCTACAACAGTAGTTGGAGAAGATGAAATAAATAATCTATATAGTTCATCATAAACTTCTTCTGATGTAGCGTAAGCCAATTTCTGTATAAGTTCTAAAGATGAAGTCCGTTCACCGCTTGTTATCCCAAGTTTGGAAGTTGTAATCTCACGATTGAAAGTTCTGTAAACAAAAGTGTGATGTTGGCTTAACAAAACAATTAAAAAAGGAAAGTTTATAAGATTTTATATAATCCATATTTACAGATAAAAATTAACAATCATATTAAAAATCAGAAGGATTCATTATCCATTAATCTAGCGCTAGTCACTTCTGGGTAATTAATATTACCTCATGGTGTGAAATAAGCAGAGTAATAGAGAAACCCCAGGAAAAGCACTACGTAAAATCTCTCTTTCTGTTAAGTCTTTGTCTGTCATGAAGACATTTGTCTTTGGCCAAGCAATATTGAAACTCTTAAATCTTTCAACAAACCAACTTTAAAACAAATAATAAAAAAATCATAAAGAGAGAAATACATACACACACACAGATATATATATATATATATATATATATATATATATATATATATATATATATATATATATATATATATATATACAGTGCTCAAAGTGGAAAAAAAACATAATAAAATAAGATGATCTTTTAACAACTTCAGATAAGGTGGTCTTTTAACAACTTCAAAATATTATTCTGACTAGTCATTATTGGGGCGGTTTATAAATGTAACATATACATTTTTCAAATGCCAATTAAGAATATAAAATGTCAGTATGATTACTTTAATATTTGTTTTACCTGTTATTATGCATATACATCAAAGCCAGTCACAGCAAAGAAACTATACCTAAGAGACGCAGCATCTTCATGCGTGAGCAAACCTACAGCAGCTATTTCACTTTCACCTATACAAAAAAGTGAATGTAAATTAGGCATAACTAAATATGATGTTCACGGTTATTAACTAATTATATACATCAAAACTTTGATTAATAAATAATTGAAACCAACCAGCTCCATCTTCGCATAGCAGAATATAAACAGGCAGTCGAATTTCTAACAATTTATATGTCGCATCCATGCATAAAAACTCAGGATATGCGTTGTAGGCACTGTGCATAAAAAAATCTTGAAAAAAAAGCCCTTGCAAATTATTGTCTGCATCTGTCTAAACTTCAACATTAGCATCTAAAATACATTTTATATTATATACTGATAATAAAATAAACTATAATTATACAAATAAATTAAATATATATGTATGAATACATAGAGGAATGAGAAATATTTTAATAATTTTATTTTTTTTAGATCATCACTGCTTTACTGTCTTTTAGAATCACACTACACATCCATCTAATCATCATACTTTCTGTCTTTTCTAAACGCTGAACATCATCAACCTTTATTGCCCATGTTTCACTGCCATACATCATAACACTAGAAAGTCACTAGCCATTCTTCAATACCTAAACACCTTAAAACCCACCACACCACCTTAATTAGAACTCTGTCAAAAGCTAGGTCAATAAATGCCATCCACAGATCTTTTTTCCTTTCTAAAAATCTTTTTGAAACTGGCTTTACAATAAAAACGGCATCTGTCATTCCTTTTCCTGGCCTCAAACCAACTGAATGTTATTGATTAACACACTGCTCATTATTTTGCTTTCAATAATTTTTTCTAAAATCATCATAACCTGGTCTAGCAAATTAACATATTAGCATGTTACTTAATTATTTTTCCTCATCTAATTTAGCTTTGTATATGGCTTTTTTTGACTTGCGCTCTGCCACAGAATACAGTAGCCTATCATCTTCATTTTAAGACTTTTTCCAGATGTTATGAAATATCCTCTCTTCTTATCTTACTTTAGCCACTTTTTCATTCCACCACTTTTTCCACATACTTCATCAGATACATCAACAAGGCATTTCTTCATGTTTTTCCACATACTTTCCACATTTCTTTTTGATCTGATTTGCTTTCTTGCTTTAATTTTCTTTTCAAAATGTTTACACATTTCATCTTCTTTAAATTTTCAAATTCTGCAATCACAAAGATCTCTTTTCTTCAAATTTTCCACCAACATGTCACAAATAATTTATTTGTGCTCTGGAATACAAGCCTCACTTGGTATTATTCTTATGTTGCTTGCCTATTTTCCATGTTGCTTTCTGATTAAGATTTATTTCACTTGTGTCTCCAAACCATTAGACTCATAAATTATTTTTTGTTAATCCTTTTTCGTAAACCATATATTACAGACTGTCAATCCCGTAGTATCAGAAAATTCCAACAACATATCTCCTTCAGCATTTCTGATGTTAAATCCTTTTCCACCATGCCTCAAAACCATCTGAAGCCACACCAACATACCAATTCAAGTCTGAACATATTATCGACTTCTCATTCTCACCAATAATCTTCAAAATATTACCTAGAACATTACCTAAAACAAACATCCTTTTCTTCACTGTACTACCTGTTTGAGACTGGGAAAAGTGTCAGACAGGTAAACTTAAAAAAAATAATTTTTTTTTAATTTTACAGGTATATTGCCCTTAAAAAAGACAACAAATTTAAAATGGCTTAAAATGTTTGGGAAAGCCTATTTTTTTTAAATTCATTTTTTTTTATTTTGTTTAAAGCCATATAATTCCTTCGTAGCGGTTGAAAACAGTAATTAAATTTTTAATATTTTTATTTGTATTTGAAATTTGTCTATTTTAGGCAAGGTGTCCTTAAAAAGACAATCTTATTATTGTTGATGTCTCCTTAAAGATTAACTCAATTGGGGAGATATTTTGCATAGTATTATCTGCCTAGTATAGGTATCTTATAATAGAAAGAAATCTGGAATTATTTAATGATTTTTTGAAATAATTAAAAAAGTCATGAAATAACCCAAATAACGCTTTTTGTAATGAGCATTAAGAAACTCTTTTTCTAAAACTATTTTATTAATATTGTATTTTTTTCTTTCCTTTATATCTTAAAGTTTATTTTGAAAGATAGTAGTAACTCATATAACAGTTCAATTTCTTTTAACACCTACTTCTTGTTTTGCAACTTAAAAAATAGACTTAAAAATAATATAATTGCTGTTTTGTGTTTTTACATTACTTTATTTGTACTATTGTAATAGTTTAAAATGTTTTAATTACAAAAAAAAAAAAAAATGAAACAACAATATAGCTTAAGTGTAGCTGCAAATGCAAACTCTGTATTTAAAAAGTCAAGGAATAAATCTGAAGTAACTGTAAAGCAATTTATCCGAGATAAAAGAAACAAACAGTTAAACAAAGCTGTGTAATGGTGCGAAACTAATGGAAAACAAGGATATTCTGCAGGTCAGTTTACGTTAATATAAAACAAAATTGTAATTGATAAGCAATTAGATAACCTAGTTTTACAGGATAAAACACGTAACAATACTAACCACTGAAGAAGAAGATATTAAGGTTGAGTATGTGCAATGTAAAAATTGAAATAACTAAGGTATGAACAGAAAAAAACTAAAAAACCTTATTATGGATGTGTAAAAAATTCAAGATCATGCTAACAAAAAGATAAAAGGAAGAAGAAAGTTTATTGATTTGGAAAACTTGCTTGAAGAAAAGGTTAAAATTTTCTATTGTATTATTCAATATAGAAACTGTAAGTTTCTGTGTCCATGTCAGTTTAAAACAAATTTACAGAAAAAAGAACATCAAAAATAAATACAGTGCTCTATCGTGTAAATTGTTTATATAATACTGTATAATAATACTGATTGTACCTGTGAAATGGCCTGCTCTAATTTAGGCAATAACAAATATGTCAATAACAAAAGTAAAAAAATGACAAATTTAAAAATAGATATATTTTAAGACAAAAAATGTAATTTATATTTTGAAATTTCAGACAAATTTTCACTGCTTAATCTATTACTTAGATGAAAAATGCACCTGCCATGTAATATTTGGTACTTAAGGAAATACTAGTCAAATGGCTCCACAAGATACTGATCGAAGTATTTCAAACTTATTGATTTCGATGACAGAGAATGGATCACAAGATCACAAATCCATACTTACATTTTATAAATTATTTGATAAGCACGTTATTGCAAAAGACATACTTTGCCCTGTTTTACTGAGAGATTGTTACAGTTCTTGTTTTCATTATACCATACTTCAATTTCCTAGAGAGAAAAAAATACATTTGTATATATCACCTCCAAACACTACTGGGTAACGCAACTTCTTGATCAAATCAACAAAAGGCTTTATAAAAATCAAATCAGATGCTTTATTTAATGTTACTGATATTTCATCAGTTGTAAATGGCAAAATAAGTTTCGTTATACCTATAAAACAAAAAAATAGCCAAATATATTGAAAAAAAAAAGCTTCAAACTGGAAAAAAAAATATTTGTCACTACAAACAATGATTAGGAGCTTAGTTGAAAAAACCATTAATCTTAAGTCAGCAAAAAGTAATAATATGCAAAAAGCAACTACAAGAGTAACCCAAGTCTATGGCTCGATGGAAGATCAGATGTGCTAAAGCTTGTAGAGTCTATTAACAACTTACAAGTTACTTAATAAACAAGAGAAAGAAAAAAGTTGAGAAGAAGAGAAGGAGAGAAGAAACAAAGTTGTTGTATAGATGCAAAGAAAAATGCGTTTCAGACAGAAGCATTTGCAAAGGTGAAAACTTAAACAATGCCTTATGTGTCAAATTCTTATGAAATTGGTACAATTTTACCTAAATATACAACAAAAAAAATAACTGCCGTATTGTAGAAATTTTTTTTAGTTTTGATTAACAATAGTTATCAGCAATATAATTATTTTGTCTTTTTATGGGCACTATCTTTTTAAGGGCACTATACCTGTATATGAAACTTGTCAAACATGAATTTTTTCAAAATTCATTAAAAAGTAATTACAATAAATAAATGATGAACTTATATTTAAGAAATATCAATTTTTAACATTTAAAAAAAAAAAAGTAATCGAAATTGAATTATCAAAAGATAAATTAATACTTAACTTTACAGAAGACAAAATAACTTGACAACTTTCTTACTATATTTTTCCTTTAAAGTTGTAATAAAGGCTGTTAAATCATTTCGGGTGTCACTTTTGTGTGCAGAAGCAGCAATATTTGATAAATCTCGGAGCGTTATCATTTTCCCAGTCTCATTTAACAATTCTCGTTGTAGTAATTTTTTGTTAGCTTTCAAACCTAACAAGGTTTCTGCTTTAGCAATAGCATAATCAGGTAGTCTTCTTTGATTAGGTAAGTGTTTATAGAAAATCTATTATGAAAAAACATTAATTATTTTTTATAATACATTAAAAATAGGTTGTGATGTGGAGAAGTTGGTATTTGCAGGAGATAATATTTCATAAAAAATTAATGATACAGTGAATTCTTGATATCACAAACCTCCAAGGGACCAAGAAAAATAGTTTGAGTTAGTGAATGTTTGAGTTATGGAGACATTCTTTAACACAAACCTTTGTCAATAGGTAAAAAAATTTAAGTTATCAAAAGTTTTTATCTCAAAGGAAAAATAATACATTATAAATTATAAAATTGTCTGTCATTCTGTCTTAGTTTTGAATAAACGCCTTTTTAATTTATATATACTATTTTGTTAGATAAGTATTCTCCTTAAGTTAACTATCCTTTGCTGCTTGTTATCTATTACATCTATAACTTTGCATACTTTTCCTTATTTTAATATAAAATCAATGCTGCTTAAATTTTGATTTAATACTTCTGGGTACTTGTTTTTTTTTTTTTTTTTCTAACTAATATTATTCTCCTTATATTTACTAACACTCGCTATCATTATTATTTTGTTATAATTATGTTTTTAGGTGATAGTAATATTATCTGAAGACATATTTAACTACTTAACTATCATTAGACTTATTATTGATAAATATTTTAGCTTCACTATTTTGATTTGATATTTATTTTTATTTCAATTATTAGTATTATTTATACTATATTAAACATCATATTATTATTACTAATATTATTTTCATAGTTGTTTAAATTGATGTGTTGTATTTTTTAAATATTTTTAGCTATGTTTATGTTAATATTGTATTTGTTAGGAATTTACTTTATATTAGTACTTGTACTATTGTAAATATTCTTGAAATGTTAACAACTAATTTCAGAATATATTTGATTTGATTTATGCACAAAAACAGTTTATGACATATTTTGCAATTTGTAAAGGCTATTTAAACTTTAATAATATATTCTAACAAGCTATTTACAGTTTTTATGATTGCTAGTGAGGGTTCGAGGGGAACTCAAAAGTAATACGAGTTACTGAAAGTTCAAATTATCCAGGGGTCAAGATATCGGGAACTCACAGAATTTACTTATAAATTTGCAAAAATTCAAAAACATCATACTTAGTTACAAAAAACCGAAGAATATATAAGCTTGTATAGCCACAATCTATAATTCAATCACACCCACAAATCAATTCAAATTAAAAAGTTCATAAAAACTCCCAATAACAAATTTTTAATTTGATTTTTTAATAAGATTTTTTAATTTGATTATGAATTAAAAAGAATTTATTTGAAAACAATTTAGAGCTCTTCATAGCAGCAAATCAAATACATTTTGAAGTATATATATATATATATATATATATATATATATATATATATATATATATATATATATATATATATATATATATATATATATATATATATATATATATATATATATATATATATATATAATTATCAAATTATATTAATAACCCGATTTGACAATTATAATTTTACTATATAACTATCAAATTATATTAATAACCCGATTTGACAATTATAATTTTATCATAATATAAAATAATGAAATCCCAAAAAAAAAAAAAAAAAAGTGTTTTCATTACTTTTTCCTGTCTATATAAAAAATTGTAAAATAATGCTATTTATAAAACATATTTTAAGTATAAATAATAATAGTTTACTTCAGATACTTCGTGATTATGTGTATTGTTAAATTCTTGCAAGATTAATGCTTGTCCATCCTCCGATGCCTTAAAGTGTAGGTAGAAAGGGCAATCTTTTTTATATGTCCTACAAAAAAAATGTATTAATTAGATGCTTATTTCATAAATTAAATAAGCAAAAAAAAGTATTTGTATTACTAATAAAAAGTTCTATGTAACAAATTATATTTGTATTTCTAAATAAAAAAAATTATTTATTATAAAATAAATCCAGTAAACTGCCAATAACTCAAACCTTCAGGGAAGCCAAGAAATTAGTTCAAGTTTGCAAATGTTCTAGTTATCAGGATATTTCACAATTCAAACTTTTACAGATAAGTAAAAATAATTCAAGTTAACAAAAGTTTTTTTTTAATTCAATCTGAAATGGTAAATAAAAAAAAATCTTCATTGCAACTATTGTAAATTGTAAAAACTGACATGTTAACAAACTGTTTGCTTTGGATGCATTCATAGATAAAATAAAAATAATATGTGAATAAAAAATAAAAATAAAGTAGAAATAAAAAAATATAAATGAAAACAAAATAGATCATAAAATATAAAATCTCCTTATGTCTCAGTTTTGAAGTAATATCTTTTTTGATTGATATTAAGGAAATCAAAAAAGTTTAATGTAATAAAAGAATATTTATTTTTAATAAGATTTTGTTATTATTTTTCTTCTAAAGTTCAACTTATTGGGATATTATCAGCCACAGGGACAAAAAAAAAAGGTTTGACTTGGGGAATTTTCGAGTTATCAAGGGGTTTGAGTTATCAACATTTTTATGAGAAAGTGTGAGTGAGAGTTCAACAGGAATGTTAAAATACTTTGAGTTACTAAAAGTTCAATATATCTGCAGTGTTCTGTTTTTATTAATAACCTACATAAACAAGTTTTTTTTTTCTTTTTTGTTTATTTTTGAACTGCTACAGTACAAATTATATTATTTATAATAAAATATTATTAAATCTATAACTTTGTGTATATTGTTTTAATGTTTTACAATTGTTTTTATTTAAGTATACTTTATAATTCCTTGAGTATCTCACTAAACTGTTATAATATCTAGCATTATATTTATTTTGGATTTATTTGAACACTATTTTTCTATTTTTCAGGTTTAACTCTTAATATTCTTATCAATTCTTAAGATTAATTTATTTTTAACATTTTGAAAAACAATTCTTACATGCATCAGATTGCACAAGAAGCTAAAGAATACATAGGAAATGTCATTACCCTGAAAACTTTTCTAAAGATATGAACACTAGCTAAGGTTATGGGAACTAAGGTCTTTCTATTTGGGAAAAAATGAAATTTGTACGTTAAGTCATCTATAATAATCCATACTCAATCTAAGAAAGACTTAAAACAAACATTTTGATTTAAAGTAAAAAAAAAAACATAAAGAAAAAAAGAAACCATAAGAAAGAAAGAAAATGTTTAAACCTGGGGAAGTCTAACCACTTATAGTGATTAATATTATTATTTTTATTACTGCTTTTCTGTAACTTTCAGATTTTCATTTTTACTGTCTTACTTGAATTATACACTAACACTAGAATTAGTTTTGTTTATAATATTATTTTTATTACTGTTGTTGTTATTGTTATCATTGTTGTTTATTAGAATTTTAAAAGCTATGTTTTTGGATATATTTCTTACATTACCATTATTATTATCCTTATTATATATTATTAGCATTATAAGGGGTTTAACTCATATAAGTTTATAACTATTTGTAACTTGAAGGCAAGATCTTTATTCAGAAATATAAATTATTCATTGATTGAAATAGAACAAACAGTTATAACAGTTACTGTCTGAGAATAATAATACAATCTTTTAAAAAAGTAAAATAAAGTACTAACGAAGTTTGACGTTTTCCAAAACCTTTATATTTAAATTTTTGTCCACCATGAATGCAGCAGTACTTTATAAAAGAGTATTTAATTTGTGGAGCCATAATACTTGCTCTCTTTGGAATGCTTTTTCTAGCAGCATTAATTGTCTTGGCGTCTCTCATCCATAATTGCACAAAATTAGCATCTTCGTATTTTTTAATATTTGCTTTTAGATCTTCAAAAGACAAGAAAACATCTTTGCAAGTAAAACTAGTTGACATTTTACAATATAAAATTATATTTTCCAATTCAAATCTTTGAAAATCGGAATTTGTTTTCACACGTGACTTTTGCAACCAATAGACGCGCTTCCGGTACTATAAGAAAATTTTCTTATAGTACCGACTTTCGGTACTCTATCCACGGCGTATAAAATATAGAATTCAACGTGTGCAAAAATCTTTTCTCAAGTAAAAGAGAAACGGCAAATTTACCAAAAATATCTATAGACGGGGGAAATTATAATAATCTTTACTTAGAAAACAAAAAACCCACCCTATTAGACTACAAAAAAAAAAAAAAAAAAAAACTTGTTTACTTAATAAATAAATAGTTGTAGAACTTATTTTTACGTGGGGACGAAAGAGTTATTTTAATTTACTTGCATTTTAACAAAACTGAAAGATTTAAAACTAAATAACTTTATCAATTCTAAACCAAAACGTCGTCCCCAAACAAATTATTGTAGTACAACCTTTTCTAAAAAAAAATAACATCTACATGTACGTATATAATATTTATTTTCATGGGTGGGTTTTTATTCTTCAAAACCTACATAAAATCATTTCTGACGAAGTTTTTCAAAAATATATTAACGATTTTTTTCCGCGATAAAATGTCACGTGACCAAACTCCCTAATTCAAAACAGTTTTTATTAAACACAGACTTTGATTTATTTTATTATATGTCCTTCTTTTAAAATAGATCAGATATATATCAATTATAAATAAAAACAAGGAAACTGTTCCTTGTAAGCATTAAAAAAAAAGTGTGTGTGTGTGTGTGTATGTATATGTATATATACATATATATATATATATATAAATATATATATATATATATATATATATATATATATATATATATATATATATATATATATATATATACAAATATATATATATATATATACAAATATATATATATATATATGTGTGTGTGGGTGTGTGTGTGTGTGTGTGTGTGTGTGTGTGTGTGTGTGTGTGTGTGTGTGTGTGTGTGTGTGTGTGTGTGTGTATATGTGCGTATGTGTGTGTGTATGTATGTATATATATTTATTTATATATGTGTGCTCATATATATGGGTATATGTTCGCTTATATGTGTAAGTGTGCGAATGTGTATATAAATTTATATATATTTATTTTTACTTTTATTTGGCTATTTATGATATTATGTATTAAACGATATCTTATTTTATTTTTTGAATTCTTGTAAACATTTATTCAATTTTTCTTATATACTATATTCTTTTCTAATTTTTCTTATATACTTATATTCTTCAATAACTTTGTAAAAAATTATAAATTGTAACACGGTGATCGGCGATAAGGCAAATTAATGCCTTATTCTTGCTCCGGCCATTAACTTAATTGTAAATTTTTGTAAACTGTAATACTTATTAAACGGCAAAAATATAATGTTAAAAAAAAAAATGTAAGATGATTTTATGAAGGAAACTGAAGTTATATTTAAAAACCAAGAAAAAACAGTAATTACTATTGTTATGCGAACACAAAAATATCAAATACCATTTTTAATAAAGATGTTCAAAAAGGTATCATAAAACTGATATATCCAATCATTTTTCTATATTTCTGATTTTAAACTCGAATTTAGAAAAAAATATTAACACCCCAATGGCTGTAAAAAAACGTATTTTCAAACAAAAAAATCTTGAATTATTCAAAAATCAGCTATCTTTCTCCATTGGAATCATATTGATTTTAACGAAAATGCAAATAACATCTATGAAACATTTTTTAAAACATTGTTTTCTGTTACGACGCTTATTTTCCAATTGTTGAAAAAATAATAAAAATAAACAAAAGCTCAAAAAGTCCCTGGACTACGAAGAGATTAAAAAAAGCGTCAAAAATTAAACAAAAGTTATATATTAAATACCTAAAAACAAAAACACCTGTTAGCGAAAAAATATATAAAAACTAAAAATATCTATTTAAAAAATACGTAAAAGCCTAAAAAGAAATTACTACTCAGAACCAATTAATAAATGTAAAAACGACTTAAAACGCACATGGCAAATTATGAAAGAAATTAATGGAAAACAAAAATCATGCTTAGATTTTTCTGCCGCATATGATTAAAGTTGATAACATAAGTTTATATGACCCAAGAGCCATATTCCATGAATTTAATAAATTTTTTATTGGGATAGGTCCTTCCTTATCAAATAAAATTCCAAATACGGAATTCCAAAGACGTTTATTCTGATGAGTTAACCTTAGAATTGTCTTTTGAGGAATTTGAAGTAGTTTTGAATTCTTTGAAAAGAAAAAAAGTATCAGGAGCAGATGAAATTAATGGAAATGTAATTATAGACTGTTTTGATATGTTAAAACATGTTCTTTTTAAAGTTTTTAAAGCTTCTAATTAAGGAATATTTTGAGAACAATTAAAAGTTGCTCCTATTTTTAAAGAGGGTGACAGATCAAATATTAGCAACTATCGTCCCATCTCTGTTCTTTTGGTATTTTCAAAAATTTTAGAAAGAATAATGTCTAATAGAATATACAAACATCTCAACAAAAATAACTTACGATATAACAAACAATTCGGGTATAAAAAAGGTAACTCAACAGAGCATGCAATAATCCAGTTTGTGCATGAAATCTCAAAATCTTTTGAAAAATCACAGTACTTGTTAGGTATCTTCATTGACTTATCAAAAGCTTTCGACACTGTAGATCATTATATTTTATTACAAAAACTTAAAAATTATGGAATTAAAGTTACTACTTTAAAATGGTTTAGAAGCTACCTAACAAAAAGAAAACAATTTGTAATTAGTAAGGATTATAAAAATAATTATCTTGATATCGTATGTGGTGTTCCTCAAGGTTCAATTGTCGGACCACTACTTTTCTTGATATATATAAATGATTTGAATAAAGCTTCTTACCTTATAAGTATCATGTACGCAGATGATACCAATCTATTCCTTTCAAGCAGTAATACATATGAACAAATCTATTCCTTTCAAGCAGTAATACATATGAATCACTATGAATAAAGAATTAAAACATATACCAAGCTGGTTTAAATGTAATTAGCTAACTTTTAATAATGATAAAACTAAATGGACTTTATTCCATTTGTATGCAAAAAAGCGATTTTTACCAACAAACTTGTCGCAGCTTTATATAGACGAAATTGAAATAAATATGATTCCGTTACAAAATTCTTAGGCGTTTACCTTGATGAAAATATCTCCAGGAATCAACACATTAGTTATGTATCTTCTAAAATTTCAAAAAACACTGGGATTCTATATAAAGCTCATAACTACCTTATGAAAATTTTTTAAGTCAACTTTATTACTTTTTTTTACACAGTTACATAAATTATGCTAACACTGCTTGGGGGAGTACTGTAAAAAGTAAGTTAAAACTTCTTTTTCGTCGTCAAAAACACGCGATCTGCATATTTAACTATGCTGTTCGTTTTACACATACAAAACCTTTTTTTACTGAAATGAGATTATTAAATTTATTTGAACTCAATGTATTTAAAGTTTTATGTTTTCTATATTTATGGAGAAATAATTTATCCCCTATCGCTTTTGATAATATTTTCAAATTCAAACCTAACAACAAATACGATATGAGAAACATAAATTTTTAAAATAAGCCGTTTTGTCACACAAAATTTAATCAATTGCTTGTCATGGACCCCACCTATGGAATAATATTGTTCTGCGGAATTTCGATCAACCAATTTCCTTTTATCTTTTCAAGCTCAATTGACTTAGATAACATACTCAGATACTTTTAATATTTTGAAAATTGTTATTTAACTTGGATTTCATTACTTTTTATTTTAATTTTTACTTTATTTTTTAGTATGTTATACTTTTCTTTTATACTTTTCTATTTTGCTTGCTTGTATTTTATAAGATTCTGACCAGAGGCGATTCTATGAACAAAATGAGGTGCGGGGAAGGGGTGAATCCTCAAAAAGTACCGAATGGCTTCTTAAAAAAAAAAAAAGTTCCTCAAAACGAAAATTTAACCGACTGAATTGTGTCAAATACCCGACTAGCCGACTAAATTTGTGAAAAAAACAGACTATAACTTAAAAATCACCTTCCTCGGAGGGTATAATACCACCCACACCCCTCCCCCTCCCCCCATAAAATTGCCGACGACAAGATTATGTAATCTTCTTTCAGATCCTAGCTTATGTTTAATGTTAACAGTTAATATATGTGTGCATCTATACATTTGTAAGTGTATATATGCTTATATTTATATATATGAGTGTTTTTCTTATTTTAAATATGCTGATGTTTGAATTTTTTTTTAATTGTAAAACCATATATGCGGCATATAATTGTACTGTGACATTTTTAGGAGAGCAAATACTGATATATTTGTTGATCACAACAAAATAAAACGTAGTAAGAATAATAAAACAACTTAAATTGTTGCTCCGTTGACAACTCTAAGATTTATGTATAAACTCTTTATCATGTAGTTTACTATTTTTTTCAAACAAAGGTCAGCTTTTTTGAATTATTTGCATTTTTCTTGCAAATTTCCGAATCGTCTAGTGTTGTTTGACATTCTACTGCTAAAAGAGGAAATAAGTGTTCAAACTATGTTAATTAATTTTAATAAAACAATTATACTATATTTTTTAATTCACAGTTTCAACAAAAATTGAAAAAAATATTTGTGATATTTTAGCATTTATCTATATCCTCACTATTTGTTTCAAGTAATTTAGAGCCTGATTTATTTCTATCCAAGCATCTTCTCAACCGATATGTCTCTGATACATAAACTAATCCTATTTGTAAAGTACTTTTGTTACCAATTTTATTTGAAGCTTGTAGGAAAAAATCTTTGCTACTTTTGGACATATGCAAGTCACATGGGATTTAAAAAACCAACGCTGCATAATTACTGCATAAGATTTAGAATACATATTTCTTTTTGTCTGAATACATATTTCTTTTTTTCGTAACTCTCAATTTTCCATTGTTCGAGTCCATTACCCAATAAATCGTAAAATTTAAAGCATTTTAATGCTGTTTGAACTCGAGTAGACTTTTATCGCAATGAAATTAATATTATGTTTGTTTCAAAATATTGGTAGTTTTTGTAGTAAGTAAAGACTATATTCCTTACTTACTAAATTTGTTAATAAAATTATTCAAGAAAATGCTTTATCTTTTAATACAATATTTAGGATGCCATATTAATATAAATATATATAAATACGTTTGAAATGCAATTTTTTTGGGAATTTTCTACCATTTCTAATATTTAAATAAATATACTTTTTTGTAAAATCCCTAATGGTAAACAACTTTTCCTTCGTCTGTCACTGACGAAGGAAAAGTTGTTTCACTGTCTAGATTACCGACTAATCTGTATCAAAAGGGTCGACATTTGCCGACTAACTAGTCTAAAGGGTCAAATTTGCTGACTAAGGGTCACTAAAAATCATTGATGGGGGGGGGGGGTGTCACACCCTCCTATCGCGCCGGCCTTGTACATACATACATACATACATACATACATACATACATACATACATACATACATACATACATACATACATACATACATACATACATACATACATACATACATACATACATACATACATACATACATACATACATACATACATACATACATACATACATATTAGGGTTATGAATTTTTTTGTGACCCTTATTTCTGGGTCATATATTGATGAATATTTGTACAAAAGTAATAAAAAAAACATTAATTCGATTATTTTGTTGAAAAAGATCACCCATAACCAAAATTTTATTTTGGTTTTCATTTTGTATAAATAAAATTTTAAACAATTTTCTGTTATTTTTTTATTTCAATTTTTTTAATTAGAGAGTTAATATGTAGTTTCTTTTAGCATTTAACAGTTTATTTTTACATCATAACGTTACAAATAAATATAAAATTACAAACTTAAAAATTCTGCAAGTACGAGATTTTGAAGACACTTGATTGTTCGTTCTGAACACTGATTTGTTCTGGGAATTTTTAGTCTCAATGGTTCCTGATTCGAAAACTTTTTCACTGAGATAACGCTTTTTCATGACCGTACAAGCTGAAACATAGCTTTCGATAATCATTTGCATTGTACCGTAGAACGGGGTGACTTTGTTAGGATTTTGAGCATTTTTGCAAAATAAATCTGGTTCATTACAATTTTTTCTGATTTTTTTTTTCCCGTTATAACATAATACCTTTCCTTTATATAATTCCATTAAATATTTTTAATTTTTTTTTTGTCTTAATATATATATTTTTAATCCAAAATGTTATCAATCTCACCCCGTCGTTTGGGGTGACTTTGATAGTCTATTATTTCTTAATGGCTTATTGATTTAACCCTCTTTACAGTGTCGCTAATACTTTCTTTTTGACTTTTACTAAATTAGAACACAACATATTAATAAACTTATAAGATTTACTGGTAAAATTATAAATTTAGACAACAAGTTTGGTTATCGAATATATCTACAGAATGGACAAAGAAAAAACAAAAGTAAATTTGATGTTAATATGCTAAACACAGAAAAATAATATATCAATAACATTGTTATAGTAATTAGCAGTTATAAAATAACACAAACAAAAAAATAATACTAATTGCATATAAATATTAAGTACTGATTTACCCTGATTTACACTGATTTTTCTGCAAATGTGATTGAGAGTAACCAAAAACGAGTGGTATATTCCAGTGGTATTATAACTGGAAAATACCACTTGAACATCTAAGTATAGATTTTTAGAAAAAAAAAATTTCAAAAAAATTAAAATCACAAGATTTTTTGGCATTTTTTGGTACGTGTAAAAATCGTTATTTTTTTGTTATAGTCATGTTATTCCTAACACATTTGCACAATTTAGAATCACTTCACAATCATTAAAATTTCAAAAATATTAGCAGAATATAATTATGTACAAGAATAAAAAAAAAATAGTCTCTAATTGTCCAATTTCACATTCAAATCATTATTTTTGTAACTAACAGACGAAATTATCAAAGTCACCCCGCGTATCAAAGTCACCCCGTTCTACGGTACATTAGGATGATTAGGCGCCAAACCAGCCTGTATAACAAAGTTATAAAATATTAGTTTATATTAAAAAATGATTTATGTTTCTTTGCAAACACCAATATTCAAAACTTTTAGGTAAACTGAGCTGTTACTTTTAATTTTCATAGTTTATTTCATTATTTTTGTTGCATAGGCTGGTTTGGCGCTAAGCATCCATTTGGTCAGTAAACCAATAGTCCGCCATCTGTAAGAGACAAATCTACAAATGTCAAGTAGTGAGCCTTTTCTCTCTGAAAGAAGAATAAATGTCAAAAGAGCTAGTATTGTTCAGGATTTTATCTTTCATTAAATAATTTAGATATTTTCTAAAACTTCGCTTTATAATTTAAAATTACTCCAGATTCTTCAAAACAGTGGAATACCCGAGTTAAATAAAATAGTCTCTTAAAGTCCGAGTTAAATAAAATAGTCTCTGGTAATCATCCGGTGCAATACCAGATATTAATGAAAGACTAAAATTGTGAAGCAAAAATAACAAGGACTGTTTAAACTACGTTCACGTTTTATTTTATCAATGCTATCAAATTAATTATTTTTCAGACTATTGAAAGCATTTATAAAAAAATTAATTTAAACTTATGTTTAAATTAATTTTTTTTTTTCCATAGATATATTTGTAGGTTCCATAATAGAATTCAAAATTTGCGGAGGTTTTTTTGAATTTTATCAGCCAAAGTTGGCTCATTATCAAGAAAAAATTTATTGAACTATTCAGCTACGGCTTTTTTATTACTAATCATTTTTCTATCAATTAAGAGTTTTTGTGGCAAATTATAAAACAACTCAAATCGTTGCTTCGTTGACAACTCTAAGATTTATGAATAAACTCTTTTTGATGTAGTTTACTAAAAATGATATCTAATCATGATTTTAAGATTGTTTTCTTTAAAAATAAATAATCAAACCTAAACAAGACACTACAACGTGTGTTGAGTCTAATAAAAACGTTTGTTTAGTCTAATAAAACGTTTGTCAAGTCTAATAAAAACGTCAATTGTAGTGAGAAATTAGGAGCCATGTTTGTTGAAAAAATTTCAATATGATTATAATAAGATTTTTTAAGGATATATTTATATTGAAAGTATACAAGTTTAATACCACCTCTTTTTTTTTTTTTTTTTTTTTTTTGTTTTGTTTTGCAGTTTTAGAAGAAGCTTCAAAAAATAAAAATAAAAAGTTTTGTTAACTCGATTTTGAGTTTTTTATATGGCTTCTATTTCATGACAATCTTATGGAAATAGTAGTATAAAAAAAATTGAAGTAATAAAACTTCAACTGAAAGCTTTTTAAAAAGAGCTATATGGCATACCATTTAACTTAAGGTTAATTCACCGTTGTTTTGTGTAATAACTTTTTATAATAAAAATTACTCATGTATTCATCTACATAATAAATAATACATTATCCACCGTAAAATGTTCAAACTATAAAATAAAGATGTATTTACAAAAGCTGAGATTTGCTATTATTTAATTGTTTGCATATTTGTACATGTGGTTGTTTTCTGTTTTGTAACATGTTAGTAAACTATTATTTATTAATATTTTTAAATAAGTACTTAATATTATTAAATATTTTTTTAAATAGTTATTTATAAAGTATTAAGTGATATTTTTTTGAAATCTATTGAAAAAGTAAAACATTTAATTAGTTTTGTAAAGAAACAAAAATAATAAAATATTATTTAAAAAAATATAAGTTTATGTGTTAATTTTTGAGCATTGTTTCTATTAACCAATTTCTATGAGTTGCAACGTTTGTATACAAACCATAGGAGTGGGGGCGAGCGCATTCAAAGCCTGAAGAAATTATTCCTGTTGCAAACCAAAATCCTAATAATAAAAAAAAAGCTTACTAAATTTAGAAAATCACTCAAGATTATTTAAAATATATAATGAAATATGTAAAAAAAAACTTTGGTTGATTTACATTAACTCACCCTTTTTATTACAAGCTAAAGCACCACCGCTATCATAATTACAGGCGTCAATTTTGCCTTCCGTAAAACCAGCGCACAATAGGTGTTTAGCATTTATTGTGTGATTATAAGCTATGGGCTCATTACAAATTGCATTTGATACAATTGGTACACTTGCATGTTGAAGAATTTCTGCTTGATTATTGCCATTAAATGTGAGATGGCCCCAACCAACTATGTGACACTTGTCACCAACATGAGCTGATGAAGCTGATGAAGCATCATCGTCGGGTAAACAAAGAAATCCACTATCTTGATACAAGTTTAATTGAGATAATAAATGGATAGGAGTTTCTAACTCTAATAATGCTAAAATTGAAAATAAATTTTTTTTTGTCTTATAAATGAATAAAGCTGTCATAATGGGTCAGGGTAACAACATCAGTTTTTACTATGTCTAATAACATTTGTCTAAAAACACCTGATGTAGTTCCATCTTTTCAATTATGTTAAGAATAACTACATCTGTACAACTACATCTGTGAATTCTACAGTTGTAGTTACATCTTTTCAATTATATTAATTATTACTACAGGATTTTATGAAATTATTAAATTATAAAGTATTATTTTAACAAGATCTAGTTTCATATATGGTTTTTTTCAGATGTAGTTTTATCTGAAAAAAATAATAAAAAGTAAATGCATTATTTTAACCAGATGTAGTTACAAATAAGATGTAGTTACAAATAAGATCATCTTGCTACTGCTATCATAAACCCAGTACTACCTGCCTGATGCCCTGTAGGGTGTGCTTTTTATATAATAATTACATTAAAAAAAAATTCAAAAATAATAAAACCTTATAAAAAACTTACTAAAACAGCTAGCATTATTGTAATCCAAAACAAATCCATTAGTGCATGAGCAAAGGAAGCTGCCTTTTGTGTTCACAGCCCCCTTTTTTTTTTTACTTTTTTTTAAGATTTAAATTTGTTTCAAATTATTTTTTCTAATTTTGTTTTACAATTTAGTTAGGTCAAAATACATTATTTTGAATAAATATTATAACTTCTATTTAGGAGCATTAAATAAAAAAAATATTTTGAGCATGCGCAAAGAGCGTTGAGTAAGCAAGTTTATTCCACATTAAATGCATAAAGATCGAAAATTTTCTTTTAAGTGGAAAAAACAGACCTTTAAATGGATTTTAAAAATTGGGTTTAGTTTGAAATTTAATTTTTTACATTTTTAAATGAAGAAATATTAAAACCTTATTCCTCCATAAATAAAAGTTTATTTTTTAAAAGATTTTGTGTTTTTTTTTTAAGCTTATTTTTTGCTCTAATCATTTTGAAAGCAACACTCTCACTGGTTTTGATAAGTTTTTTTGGAGTTTTTATTATGATTTATTGTTTTATATATTTATCGTTTTCTGAGAATAAACTTTTGCCTCGATTGAAAATCTTCAAAACATAATACTTTTAGACTTGCTTTAGCTTTTTTGGGGCTTTTCATCCACCAATTTTTCTACGTCTATTTTGAATATTGTAATTTTTTAAATATTGTAAATATTAAAATATCCGTTTTAATATACTTTATGAGTATATACACCCGTTTTCAGACAAGTATATTTTTATTTGGTATAACAAGTACTTTTTTTATTAATAGCTTGACACTAAAATTGCAATTTTTTTATTCATTAATTTAAATGATTTTTTATTTTTTAGGGCATTTTTCTTAACAAAAACAAATTAAAAAAAACCCATTTAATGGTTTATAGAATCAAATTTTGGGTGGAAAAGTGAAATCGATAACACTTTGCTACGAAAAGTTGGCCTTTTTTGTGAAGGACCGTTTTTAAATTAAAAAGAATCCAATATAAAAGTAATTCAAAAAATAAATTATTTGGTTAAAAAAGTTATAATTTTTTTTTTGCAATAAAGCTGAAAAGTAATATTACAAAGTTTACCGATATCGCTGGTTCCTACGTAATACGAACCACCGTTTCCTTTTTTGAACTCGTTGCATTCAAATTTATCATGGATAATGATTTTTTTTACTTTATGAGAAACTTCATTTAAATCTTTTGTGGAAAGTAAATGATCACCAGTTAGTACGAGCCAATCTGCAGCGTTTACACTTGTATAATTAGCGACTAAATTAATTAGAAGTGATTATTTGTTTATGTTTTTTAAACTATTTTAAAAGACGAATATATATATATATATACATATATATATATACATATATATATATATATATATATATATATATATATATATATATATATATATATATATATATATATATATATATATATATATATATATATATATATGTATTATATATAATATATATATATATATATATATATATAATATATATATATATATATATATATATATATATATATATATATATATATATATATATATATATATATATATAAGATGTAATAATAGTTATTGGCGTATTACTAACCAAAACAGTGGGCTGCAGTTAACACATATCTTTCTGTAATAAGTGAGCCTGAACACCATTGCTTATCCTTTATTCGAAGACTGACATGCCACGGCCATTGGCCTTGTACACTATTTTCTCCACCGCTTATGCGACGTATTATATCGTTTTCTTTTGAATGGATGTTTTTACATTTCAGCTTGTATGGTGTCTTCTTGTATGTATCTTCTGTGAAAAAAATGTTTTTTTATGTAAATATATTTTTTATAATAATTTTTTTATATAAAAGGAAACAGAACTTTTTATATAAGCCGCAATCTAGCTTTTTAGCATCTAACATCAACTTGATGTTGAATTTCAGCAGCAAGCAGCAAGCATCAATTTGGCGTTGGGCGTCGGTGTTACAAATTAGATTAACTCCCTCTAAAAAATTAGCTCAGGGAGAACGACACCGGGGGGCCACTTTTTTTTTAAAAAAAAAATCTAGATATGGAGGACTTTTTGATTGTGCCCCCCCCCCCTACTTTGAAACCTGTTTTGTCGGTCCTGTAGTTCTTAGAAAAAATTTTGAATAACACAAATTCACTAATTTATTTCGTGACAGACGTAACCTTGGAAACTAGATATTAAAACTAACTATTTGGTTAATTATTTACGAATCAAAGTTAATTTTTTATATGGATTCATCTTTTTTACAACACCGATTACATTAATTATATTTCAGTATGTGTAAACTTACAAAACCGTTCCTCGTTTACCTAAACACAGGTTTGAGCAATATTGTAAGAATACTTCTGAACTACACGGATTTGGGGTAATACTTGCTATAGCCATACATTTTTCCGTCCATAAAAATCGTAGAGGAATATTACTATCACGATGTATCTCCCAGCACACTATAAAATGAGTATTTGAGTGCAATAACATTTAAAATATTTTAATATATTTAAAATTGGGTGAAAATACTTTGATGGCTGTTTTTTTTAGATTTGATAGTTTTCAAGTTGGTTTATCTATAAAAAAAATCTTACCAGCCATATTAAAAATGAAAATCTACTCTTTAGTACTAAAATAACTGATTCATCATCAAGTTGGAATAAAAAAGTACTCACCCCCTGGTTAAAAAAAACTTACCTAACTGCTTAAAAATAAAGATAATTAAGTAGATCATGGCATCATCTAAAACACTTAAAAAAACTGAACTGAAAATAAGTTTTTTTATTCTTAAATAGACTTTTTGAACTGGTCAGATTGTTTAATTAACACAGATGAATATTTGTTTGCTTTTTCTGTCGATTTCCATATGTCATTTTACATAATAATTAAATTAAATTAGAATGACTGAAATCGTCAGCACTTTTAATAGAATCGCTTTTCATGATATTAATTATAGTTTTTGAATATTCACGGTATGGTAAAATAAACCCACGATTCAATTTTCCTATGAAATTCTATTCAATAAATTAAACCATTTTTATTTGTCTTCAACCGCTTTGTTTGCTCTTTTTTTTTTTCAAATAAGTTTCAAATCAAGTAATTTCCTTAATATTTTGATATTTTTTAATTTAAAAAAACCGTAAATCTGTAGAACTGTATTTTAATTTTAAAAGACCTGTAACCTTGAAAGACTTTATTTTCAGATAGAAACAAAAAATTTCATTCAAATACATTATATAGTAATTAGTTTATATATTTTTATATAATAAACGCTAATTATCAACTTAATTATTAATCTAATTTTCAACTTATTTATCAAAAAAGTATGTTTTCTACTTAAATAGCGTTCATAAGCATTAATTATCAAATATTCCAATTTATTCAATTCGTATTACATACAAGTTTTAGTAAATATTTGGTTTGTTGTATTTAATTAAAAAAATAAAACATGTTCTTTAATTTTAATTTACATTATATGTTTGTTTTTATATAGAGAAAATTTTCTATATTTTATAAGCATTATTCTTTGAAGTTAAGAATTGAAATAAAAAATAAAAGGATGGAAAAATATTTTTAACTTTAAGTGGTCGTGGTGCACAGAAAAAAAAACTTTTTTTCTGTGCAACAAATAAAATATTTTTTTAAATTTAATTTTCTATTTGTTTTGTTAACTCTTTTACGTGCGAAAAGAACCAAAAGAAAACAAACGCAGAAGATACGGCAATTTTCAAATCATTTTTTTAAAACTACTTTTTACTTCTAACCATTAAACCACAAAAAATGATTACAATTTTCATAAGAAACACAAAATAAACTAAATAGGGAAATGTTTGATATAATTCCTGATTTTATTTTTTAAACCAATAATTTTCTTTCTATCCAATTCTACCCGATAACAAATTATATGTTCACATATTTTTTGCATGGTCTGTTTATGATTCTATTTAAAAATTGATGATAACTTTTGTTTTTCAAAACTCTTAAATTTCTAACAAAACAAAAATTAAATCTTTGGTTTTTTAATTTATAATAATTATTAATATTATTATACAAGTAAGCATTTTTTTATATGCTTAAAGTTTATTATAGCTTTTTAATTTATTTTTAATTATTATAATAACTTCTATTTTTTAATAATTATTATAACTAATTTGATCTGTTCTTTAATTAACTAAAATAAGTAAATATTACCTGAAATTAATAATACCTTAAAAAACTGTCAAGAATAAAAAAATTAAAGAAAAAAAAATTAGCTTTTGATTCAAAAAAACATGACGTTATATTTAAGTAAACGGATCCACCCTTGATTTTATAATTGCCTCGCTGCAAAGGTACGCGAAATAAAAATAAAACCCTAAATTTTACGTCATTTATTTTTATGATTTTGGCGTCTTATGGATAATGCGTTTAAAAATAAACATGAATTTAAATAAAATTTCATCAATAAAAAATGTTTCAGACTTTTGCAAACAACTAAAAAAGTACAAACAAACAAAAATAATATTTTTGAAAAATCTAAAGAGAGCTAAAATAATTAAATTTAAACTTTAAAGCATAAAAATATGCTGTTGATTTTGTGAGGCTCCAAAAATCAAAGAAAGTACAAAGCTTTTTATGTCTTTTTTTTTGAAACTGAGTTTTGTTTTAAATTTTTTCAATCATTTTTCGAATATAATTTCAGTTACACCAAATTGATGTCATCATTATATAAAAAACCAGCCATCATTTTCTATTTTGGTTATGTTTATCTCTGATTTGTTATGTTACTTTTTATATGATATTGGTAGACCGGGGCAAGTTGGCTAGAAGAACAGGTTGGTCCAGTCAATTCAAACAAAAAATTCTTTAAAAAAAAAAATCATATTTATTGGTCATAGCTAGTAGTATAGAGCCGTTTTAACAATTTTTGATACATCAAACTAAATTTTAAACAGTTTGTTTCATGTTTGTTTAACATGCTCACTAATGTTCTACATAAATGCATTATCCAAGTTCTTAATTTAAATCTTATAGCCCAGCTAGCACACATACGTTGTTAAAACATTAGAACAATGTCGCGCATTTCGTTGGCCCAACTTCGGCTGCCAACGTTGTTTTTATATCATTATGGTTACAAATGTGACGTCGTCAATAACTAAAAACCAACGTTTATTTAAAGTTGGAGATTGGTTATATTTTCTACGTTGATTCAACGTTTTATTTTATACGTTGGCGTTGCTAGTTAAAGTTCAACGTTTTCAACGTTGAACTTTAACTAGCAAAACGTTGTATTCAATATTATTCGGAATTAAATTTTTATTAAATTCTGTTTTCTTTATATATATATATATATATATATATATATATATATATATATATATATATATATATATATATATATATATATATATAAAACATATATTTAATATATATATATATATATATATATATATATATATATACATATATATTAAATTTATATATATATATATATATATATATATATATATATATATATATATATATGTATATATATATTTATATATATATATATATATTTAATATATATGTATATATATATATATATATATATATATATATATATATATATATACTTATACATACGTACATATATATAGGTTTTGTGGTTTATCCTCCGCCAGTTAATTGTCTTGTGGAGGCCACATTACCAAGGTTTGCAGAGACTTATTTTGGCTCCTAAGGAAGCGTTATAACTTACTCTACAGACCGAGAGTAAGGTGAGTTTGGGAAGAACAAAAATATGTTAGAGTGAAAGACAGAATAGTCGTGTTAGAAAGATTGCATAAAGGAAGCGGACATAATCGCACGCGATGCCAGAGGGTTATCATTATTTATATGCATATATGGATATATACGTGTATGTATATATGGATATATACATACATATTTGCGTATACAGTCCACGTACATATGTATTTGCATTACATACATATGTACATTGCGTATACATATTTATACAGCTCACGCTATTACTTCATTAATGATTGTTAGCGCTTGATCATCTTAACAAAAATCATGTTTGTGTTAATTGTGGTTCGATATTTTAATAATCGCGGAAGATTTTGTTTAAGTAATATAATTTCGCAATAACAATGTTTGGTCGCATACATTGGATCAACGTTGGGTTTAGTTCGTAAAAACAATCAACTTTTTGCGATGTTTTTACATACATTGGACCAATGTAAATTTGCCAGATATTTTTAGTTCCGTCGGTAATAATTTTATCATTAACCAAGGGTGGAATGCAAGAAGCGAACTTGAGTCAAGCTCGACTTGAACTTTACATTGCAACCAATAGCGACAGAGTATGGGTTTTCCCCTTTAAAAATACTCTGCCGCTATTGGTTACAAAGTAAAGTTCAAGTCGACTCAAGTTTGCTTCTTGCATTCCACCCCAAATGACATTGGATCAACGTTGGTTTTGCATTGGAAAAAAAAGCCGACGTTCGCGATGGTTTTACATACGTTGACCCAATGTAAGAGTGCTAGCTGGGTAAGAATTATTTTAGTATATGATGTTAAATAATATTGCTTAATGGTTAAAGAAAAAAGCGTTTATACTCTAAATATTACATATCTTAAAACCAATCTTCGACAAATTTATTTTTTATTAAAAATTTGTTTTTTTTCTTAAATAATAATAATAATAATAATAATAATAATAATAATAATAATAATAATAATAATAATAATAATAATAATGATAATAGCAATTAAAACAATAATAATATTTTGTGCTTAAAAAAAAAAAAAAATTTGAGTAAATAATAAGAATTAAATAAATTAAAATTTTACACTTTTTTAATATTTAGAGGATTTAGTACACTAAGGTCGAAATCACTTGAAATTTTACTAATGATTTTTTTAATTTAAAATAACAAAAAAGCAAAAAAATTAATGAAAATAAAGAAATTGGCGAAAATTACCTCGATAGCGGGGCACGTTAGGCACTCAGACATAACCTAACAAAATCAATTTCAAATATATATTAAAAACCAATTATGAACTTTTAATAACGTTGTTTATGGGTAATCTAGGGACTTATCAATCTTTTTAGATAAAATAGATAAAATAATTTAATTTTAATTTTTTTTTAATTTAGATCTTCTTAGAAGTTCGACGGTCTTATCACAGAGCACCACGGATGAACATTTATTCGGAAGTTTACGCCTCCTTTCAAACCGATGTCACAAAACTTTCCCAGAAGTGGGGTTTAAACAACGGATTCTTTATTTCTGAGGCAAGTGCACTACCACTGCGTCACGGCTGCACAAATAAAACGTGAAAAGCTAAAAAGTTACGCATCAAAGAAAAAAAGTGGGCTAACGTGCCTCAATCTACCCTACACAATGGCATACACGTTTTATTTTTTTTTCAAAATAAGAAATGTGTTTTTAAAGAAACTATTACCAGGAGTCTAAAAATTAAAATCTTAAGAATCTTTTAGTATTACGCCAGTGGGCACAAGATGTACTTTAGACGTCTATAAAATGTATTAATACGTTTTAGCACGTGTTTTAGTCGTCTTAAATACAGCTTGTTCCCACCGGAAGTTGAAATAAGAAGAGTTCAAGGAATCTTTCCCAATTTTCTATCTACATATCATATCAATATAAAACGAAGTTAAAAAGTATTATTAACAATAGAGAATAGTTTAAACAGTTTATTTTGCACGAATGAAATTCCATTCGATTGCGAATGAAATACGTATAAATATATTGCGAAAATGTAAACAAATTTAAACATTATATGTTACAATATCATTCAGTAAATAAAACAGGGTTTTTACAAGTTTTATAGAAAATTGGGAGATTCGTGGATATTACTAATGTTGGTGGTATATTGCACAGTGGGCCAGAGGTGACTGAAACTCGTCAAAACCAACTTCTATTTTTAGGTAATATATTTTTATAAATGTAATTTAGAGACCCCCAGCACTCTTAAACTGATAGAATTTTTTCTCTACAGTAATTTTTAAGCTTAGTATATTAGTTTTACCACATGATTATATAGTTTTTTATTTTGCCCAATGTTTGAAAGATAAAATTTTACCTTTCAAACATTGGGCAAAATAAAAAATTATATAATCATATAAAAAAGAATTTTGAGGCCAGTAAGACAATTTTACATCATTTAAATTTCAGAACGTCACATATTAGTCCATAAACATTATGCATTTAAACTAGAAGAAGAAATATGAAAATTTATTTTTAATGCTTGCATTTTTTTAAAAGTGTTTTTCAAAACCCCTTAATATGCGCAACCTTTTTTTTAACACTTACCTTTACACAAACAAAAAAACACTGTTTTTCTGTTTGTGGGCGCACGTGTGATTAAATTTAAACTACGTTATATTTTTTTATATCTTATGTATATGTAAAATTTTAAAATCAAATTTTCCGAACTCAGCTGAGCGCAGTAGGTGGTAGGTTTTTTATTTTAAATAGTATCCAATTACACATTTTGCATTAAAAAACTGAAGAAGACGCATAAAGAACAGTTTTAGATTTTTAATTATCTAAATATTGTTAATATCTACTTAAAATTGCTTTTTATTAGTAATTATTTTTTTTAATGTTTTTTAATGAAACCTTGTTGCAGTTTTTTAATGTAAACTTTTGTGGATCATTGTATTGTGTTAAACTCATGTGAATATTTGTAAAAATCCAAGATCTATTATCAATCTATTATACATCCAAGATCTATTATCCAATTATATAAATCATTACCAGTCAACCCACGGTCTAGAGCTCTGTGAAAATAAAGATTCAACAATGAAAAGACTCGACACATTGGAAGGAACGCAGTTAAACCAACTTTTAATGTCTCTAAGTATAGTAAAAACTATATACACTCTCTATTTAAAATTAAGGAGATGTCAAATTATATACACTAAAACAAAATAAATCTATTTATCCGCCTTTTAAACAATAAAGTAACCTTTGAAATCATTAACTCCCAACTTAACTACTGTTCAGCTAAATTTTCTTTTTTAGATGATATAAAAGAATTATGTGATAATCATAAACTGAATATGAAAACCTTAATGCTGGTTAAAAAAATAGTAAAAGTTAAAGTCTTAGAGGATGTAATTCCTGAAGCTACTCTTCATATTGGTATATTGGTACACGCGGTTCAATGTTGGAATGTAAAAGAACAGCGAACAATTTTTAAAAAGACACTAGAAGAAAACATTCCTAAATAATACTTTTTTTATCTCTTTTTCTTAGTTTGTATTTTTACCTTGTAAATATATTTTACAGTGGGTGATTAATAAAATATTAATAATATAATAAAAAGATATTTTATGGAAAAGAAAAGTTACTATTTGTGTTTATGTATGCAAATAGTTTTCTTTTTATTTATGTGAAAAGAAAAGTTTAATTTAGTGACGATAAGTTTGTTGACGAGAAAAAAGAGTTTTCAATTTTTCATTCTGTTGAAAGCGAGAAGACTACACCCAGTACTTTTAATTTTAATATCGTCTTAACAACTTTTCAAAAATGTCATTTTTACTTAGAATTGTAAATGGGTCAAATGTATTTTGTTCATTTATATTATTTGTGAAAAAAAAATTATTTCATACACCCTAATATTAATAATTTACAATAAAGCATGGAAAATTTGGGGCTAAAATGTGTTTTTGGGCGTATTTTTTTTCCTTAGTGTCTTTTGTACAATGTTTACAAGACTTAGTCCCTCCTCTTACAAAATTTAGTTTCGCTATATCGCGGCTAGACTAAGTCTGGTTGGAAGACTAAGTCTAGTTGGAAGACTAAGTTGTAGACTAAGTCCAATTGGAAGAGTTGGAATAGCGAAAGATAGAAGAACAGATGGAAATTGATAAAGAAGATAAACAATATTTAATATAATTATAATTTGTTTTTTAAAGTGTGTGATTTATCTACATATATATAGCAAGTTTTTTAACAACACCACAAGAAAGAAGGATATAAAAGACCCATCTCCAATAAATTAAGTGGTGTAAGTGAAGTGGAGGAGAATAACTTTTTCAAGGAGTTTTAGGCTGTCCCTACAATATTAGATGGATTCATGATCTTCCACGAGCTGGAGGAGAGTATTGTTGATGGAAAAGTTGCTACTATTCTTAGTGTAGTGAACACAACTACTTGTTACAGCATCTGCAATCTGACCAGCTATAACCTGAAAGACATGCAGAAAGTTTATAGAGCTGCAATAAATCTTCCAGGTATTAGACTAAAACAAGGTGGCCTTTCCACCCTTTATTTGTGGGTAAATAACATGTAGTTTTTTTACATAGCCTACAGACTGGATTTTAAAAAGTGAATGGCAAGAGAAGAATATAAGAACTACTTAAGCTCAAAAGAAAACAGATTCAAGTAACTTTGAGTCTTGGGCTTGGTATTAATTATGATTGTTTCAAAGTCACGAAGATCTGGAAACGCAATACTGTCAGGTTTTTTAGGTCGTATGAAAAGTCAGAAGAGATTTTAGGTGTTGATGATAAGCTAAAGAAGAGGTTTTACATTAACCTTTTGATAAAAATGCTTTATAGCTTCAAACCTAAGGTGTCCCATGGTATGTAACGTGACATAAAATATGTCCCACCTAATTAAAAATTAATTAGGACATTCCATGAGCACCTTTGACAACTCTCAAAATGACCACCTGTTGGGTCTTGACCCCTCCAAACTTAAAATTGAGGCTGAAAATGAGTTCTACGGTCCCTATAAACATGTATCATATCTCTATAATAAAGCCATAAATAGTTTATCTATTTTTAGAACAAGTCTGACTCACTGTGTATTGGTAAAATTACGTGGTATAACAAAAAAATAGTAGAGTATCATTTTTTGTTTAAGGGCTAATCCAAGGATTATATTACTTTGAACGATATTAATAGAATTCTAATAATTTTAGTTAATTAACTGTAAAAATTTTATTTTACTTACAAAAATGTTTTTAAATTGTAGGGGAGCGTGGGAAGAAGTGGTACGCAGGAAAAGTGGGACAGCCCAGAATTTCTAACTAGACGAGGTTCCTAATCATTGCTATCTAATGTAAACAACGAGATTTTTTTCTCTCTGTTTACCAGAAATTGCTTTGTCTCCCTGCGTGTGGTAAAAACCATATTTTAGAAAAATAAATAAATTATAAATTTTATACAATAATTTCAATACGTTAAAAAATTATAATCATATATAGTTGGAACCCTCTCAATTTAAAGTTACTTTCTCCATGTCAAGAGGTTAGCTAAAAACACCGAAAAATGTTAATTCCGCCCCTGGTCCCATTTTTAAAAATGATTTATTTTTATCCATTACATTAATGAGGAATTAATTACGGTAAATGTATATTACGATAAAGTAATTCGCGCATTCTTTTTAACAAAAATATTTGGTTGTTGCTGTTAATTGATAATCTTTTTAAACAGCTTTAATACATCATACTCTCCAATATACAATCACAGATTATGGATGATTTTTGGGCTTTTTTTTTCAGCTTTTTATTAGCTTTATCTCTTTTTTTTTCCTTGCATATTTTTTCGTTTTTCGTCTTAAATAGCATGTTTTGCTCATTTATTTGCTTCCGCTAGTTTAATTTATCCTATGGCTTCTGAATACAAACAACAACAATATTGCAGGCTTTCATGGTTCTGAAACATGTTACAGCTCTACATTAAATAAATGAACACATACAATTGCAACGACTAATTGCAATGTTGATTATATTAAACACGTAAAGTAAATATTTCTTTTTTAAAAATGTCAGATGTAGCAAATAATGGTTTAGTGGTCAAAGAAAGTTGAGAAATTAATTTTCAATATTAATTTCCTCCTAATTCTATCAAAGTAAAAAAACCATTATACCCGAGGCTGCCCTTACGGAAAATTCCGATGAAAAAACCCATGAAAAAAACCCATGGAAAAACCATGGTTATTTGGAACACGTTTTCATGGGAAACCCATAAGTTTTCCATGGGAAATCCATGAGTTTCCTATGGGATCCCCATGAGTTTTCAATGAAAACCCATGAGTTTTCCATAGAAAATCCATGAGCTTCCTATGGGAAACCCATGAGTTTTCCATGGAAAACCCGTGAGTTTCTCATGAAAAATTCCATGTTTTTCATGGAAAAGTGTTCCAAATACCATGGATATTCAATGAGATTTCCATCCATGGAAAAAACCATGGAATTTTCATAGGTATTAAGAACACTTTTTCAAGGAAAACTCATGGATTTTTCATGGTAAAAAAGCATTTGTTTTCAAGTTTTTTTGATCTAATGTTATTTGAATTCTCATACTAAATCATAAAAGCAAATTTTATCACACTAATGTTATTGATTTCTCTTAATCTATGGGATCGCTTTCTCCGAATAAAATCAATAAACAAAATAAAATTTAAATCTTGTTAAATCCTGCAAATCTTTGAAAAATAATAGCTGTAATGCACCTAAAACATCAAAACTTGACTTCCCCACAATATTTAATGCATGCATATGTATAACATACTGAAAATAAATAAAACAAAAAATTACAAGTAATATAATACTATAAGTGATATACATAGTGATAAACAATTGAAATATATCAAGAAAAATATTTTTACAGAAAATAAAACAATTTACATGTTTATTATTTTATATTAACTATTTGATAAAAATAGTATATATAAATTTGATAATAACTTAAAGTTTTAACAAGTTAAAAAGAACCATCAATACAACATATTCAATCCAAAAAAACATCAAGCCCATTTATAAGTGCGACTGCATTGTGTCTGTAGAAACAGGTAGATGTCAAACAAAGTACCATTCACATTTTGATATTCATTATTTTTCCACCGTAGTTAGTCTCATTCTCCATTTCACCAATCTAGACACTACATCATACAACTATTATATACATTCTAACTAGTTTTCTTTATTTACTGATTCATTTTACTAATAATTATTATCTATTATAACTTACTTTATAATTAGGCATTATACATAATTATGAACGTTGCCAAATGTTAGGTAACATTTATATAGAAAAAAGTAGCAATGAATATATCATTATTTATAAATAACAATTATTAGATTATTACCTCTTTTTCGCCTAAGCTATCTGCATTATGAACAACATCGTTTATATTTCCAGTCAAACATTCCTGCCTATAATGTAACTTAATTAAAATAATTTATTCAAACTAATACATATATAAATGTTACCTGCATGTTAGAAACATTTATATAGAACAAGGCAGTAACAAATATTATATTATATATTTATTTTTGTAATTAAAAAAAAAAACTTACTTCTTCTTCTGAGCTATCTGCATGATGTACAACATCATTTACAAACCTGTTTTCTTCACGTCCTTACCACCTTTAAATATATTATAAAGCACCGGACTTGTTAATGAACAGCTAAATAAATAAATTAAAATTTTATATTGCAAGTCAAACCTGCCTGCTAATAATGTAGTAATTTAAATGAAACGATAAGCTTAAAATGAAAAGATTTATACACATATATAGAACAAGACAGCAATAAATATAGTATAACTTATAAATTGTAATTTTAAGTAAAAACTTACTTCTTTGTCTGAGCTGTCTGCATGATATACAACGTTATTTATATTGTCAGTCAAACTTACCTGCTTATAATGCAGTAATTTAAATAAAATGATAAAGTTAAAATAAAAGAACTTATGCACACACCATTAAATTCAAAAATTTATTATATTTTTACTTTACTATTTAAAACATAACAAATTTATTAAATATGTAATTTATAAAGTATAGTAATGTAAAAGCATAATAAATATCAAAGTGTGTGCATAATTTAATTTATTTTAACTAAAGACGAGCACTTTACATTAGTTAAATATAAACAAATAAAAATAATTGTATTTTAATAAATAATAGTGTATTATTTATAAACATTGCTTTTATATGCTTATATTTAACTACGAAGTAAAATCTTGTGCATTAATTAAGTTCCTTTTTTGATACTAATAATTATTTGGAAAATAATTTGCCAAGTAAGCATTAAAATTCAAACTGGTTTACTTGACATACTTGCTATACTATTGCAAGTTATGCAAAGCTACTGGAAACAGTTAAAATAAGTATATGCATAAATGATATAAAATTAAATATAATTAAAAACAATCCATTTTATAATGCATTATAATATGATAAATATATCTAGTTGCTTATGTCTGTATGTTTAGTTTGAATCATATAAATGTGATGCATTATAACAAACATATCATTTATAGTCTTATTAAAAACCGAAAAACAGAAGAATGCGGTAAGTATTGTTTACTCAAGTTAAAAGTAATTGTAATTGTACGAGCTATGACGCCATCTTTAAAAGCGCATTCGTAACAACCATGGGGCAGCATAAGCTATGAAAAAAAAAAATCATGGAAATTCCATGGGATTTCAATTTTCACGAAATTCACCCATGGAAATTCCAGTTTTTTATGGGAAAACCATGGTTTACTCATGGAATTCCATGGGTTTTCCATGAAATATTTCCGTAAGAGTGCTCTTTACGAATAAATTTGAGATCAGCGAAAATTAATATTGCAAAAGCAGTTTCTTTTACGATACCACGATAAAGAATTCATATTTTAAAAAATTTATTTATATTTAAACATGGCTATAATTAATATATAAAATAAATACATTAAAACGAAAGAGATTTAAATTCTTAATTTGCAACTTTGGCACAAGATATTGAACAATGTTTTCTTTTGCTTAAAGTTTCAACATTAGACTTTGTGTTGTATGGATACGAATCAATAATAGGTACGTGTCTTTCTATTTTAACAGATGTTATTGGATTCCGACCTACACAACATGAACATATTACTAATTAGGCAGATCAATCAGAAAAAGAAAATATTATATAAATAGTGTAATAAAAAAGTACCAGTAACTGGTTTAGATGCTTTCGAACAACTTTTTGTTGCGGTAAGCTTTACATTGAAGGGTTTTGATATAGATGTTGTTGAAATTATGGATGGAGTATTTTCATTTTTTTTTAAGTTTTCGTTAACTTGAGTAAAATTCACAATCTTTTCTATTTTTTCTGAAAGAAAAAGCTTTAAAAACAAAACAAAACCGAAATCTAAAATAAAATTATCTATTTAAAAAGATTGGTTTTATAGCAAAAAAAAAAAAAAAAAAAAAGTTAACCATTTTCGGATTTACAAGATGATATTGGATTTGATGAACAAGGAACATGGCTTCGTCTATACATGTCATTTGAGTCGGGCTCTCCTTTAAATATACTCATTGCTTCCATATTTAATGCGCAGACACCTCTCATAAATGCCTTTTTCATTGCTTCTTCATAACATTCTCTTTCAGAGTGCATTTTCGAAATTTCATCACGAGCTTTGATTAATTCTTGATGAAGCTAAAGAAAGATCAATCAGAAAATAATAAAAGGTTTACGTAAGAAAAATTGAAAGTTGAAATTAAAAAACTCAAAATCCTACGGATTGAAGTTTTTGTTCGTAATCTTCTGACAGCTTTAAACATACTTCTTGCGACTTAATCTATTTAAAAATAAAGTAACAATTTATTAAAAAATGTAACAAAAAAAAAAAAAAAAATTTTTTTAGGATTGTTTTCTTTGATTTTAACATAACGATGAAGAAGCCAATGATAAAGCATTTCATTTAAAATTACGGTATACGTAACAAGTTTAGCATAACGAATATTCATAAATTTTTTAAAAATATAAATTTATATAGGTATTATAAAGGTAACCAACTGTTAAAATAAGTTCAAAGAATTTAAAGCAATTATTTATAGATTCTTTATTATCTATGTAGAATACTATATCATATTAGCGATTCTGACTCATATGATAACAATCTACTTGGATATTAGCATTCATTTTTTATTAACTATAAAAATTAAAAACAATAAAAGAAAAAAAATGAGAAGTCATGTTGCAAAAATTCAATCAGAAAACTAAATAAAATATGTACAAATTTTTATTGTATGCGGCTACATTTCCATTATTCAAAATAATCTAAAAAACTTTACTAGTAATAATCTAAAATCTTTCTTAGTAACATTTGTGTAAGATACATACATAAGCTTAAAAACTCTTAGTAACATTTGTGTATACATGTAAAGATACATACATAACCTTAAAAACTCTTAGTAACATTTAAAAGATATTTTCATTTAACATTATTACAATTTTTTAGTTTAACATAGAATGTTTATGAAAAAATTGACATTTTAGTAACTTACGGTTTTTTATTAAATCCAACAAAAATATCAACTTCTATAAATAATGATTGATTGCTTTAAATTTCACTTAAACTGATCAAAGTGATATAACATAAAATGTACCTGACAAGCTTTCTCTACACGCTGTTTCCACTTTTGTGATATTATTCCTCTCCAAGCACTCCATACAGTTGATAATAACACTTTTTTGTAATATTTGTCAGCAATTTTCGAGCAAAATGCTAAGCGCTTTTCATCATTGTATTTTAATCTCCACATGCTAAATAACCTGATCTTGTCACACCGTTCCTTCTAAAGTAAAAACAAAATAATGATTAACATTTATACCTTTTCTTTTGGTATAGGAAAAAAAAAAAAGAACCTGTATCTTTTTCAGAGAGAAATATAAAATAAATAAAAACTTTAGAAATTTTGAAGACCTGTTTGTTGAGAGCCTCAGAAAGATTTGCAATAACTTCATCTTTTTGTTTTGAGTTTTGCTCAAACGTAAACAATAGTTCTCTCATGCTGTCCAACTCATGGTCATGACGCATTATTTCAATAGAGAATCTTTAAAACAAATATAATAAATTTTATGGCTTACTAAAAAATAAAAAAATTCTCCCATTAAGTTTCTTGATAAAGTTATCATAAAGTATGCAAAAATAAATAAATAATACTCCTAATATGACAACTCATTTAAATATAGTTGCAATTCATTCAAATGTATATGTATATGTATATATATATATATATATATATATATATATATATATATATATATATATATATATATATATATATATATATATATATATATATATACAAATACATGTTTATATATATATATATATTCTTAAAATTAAATAATAACATCTGGTAGTTAAAGAAAAATGCCTCCAAGTTTCATGAAGTAGTTTTTGTGAGATTGATGGATAAAACTCATTAGATAAAAGTACAACTTTTTTTGTCTTGAATATTATTAAACCATTTTATCATATTGTCTTTGTTATGCTACTGGTTTACAAATGCAGTTATGCTACTGGTTTACAAATGCTTATTATGCTACTGGTTTACAAATATATATATATATATAGTTTAAAAAAAAACTGTTCCATATTTTCAATAATTATTTAATGTGACCGTAATTTTAGAGAGTGCTCGACAAAAAAGGAGAGAAATATTATAATAATAATTTTGAAAACACTGGTATAGAGTGCTCAATACAGAGTAGACTGAATTTCAATACAGAGTAGACTGAATTCTTTAAAATTAAATAATAACACCTAGTAGTTAAAGAAACATGACTTTACGCCTATGACGATCATCAGATATTACAAATAATCTTAATGACAAAATATTTAATTACAAAAACACTATGCAGTGTCTGCTTTGATGACATTAAAGTTGTTTATAAAAAATTTGTTTTAGTGGCTACATTTTGATACAAGCTCATTTCTTTTGTTAAATAATTTCTTTTTTGATGTTATTATGTGATACTTTTTTTTTTTTTGTGGCAACTCATACAAAACTTGCTTCTTAAGTGTTACAATTTTGTGACAAGGGGGGAGGTCAAAAATTGCGTGATGTAATTTATGGATGACCCTTTATACTTAATGACTAATAAAATACTATATATTTTTTAAAATATAATTTTTTTTTAAATACGATACACTTCTTAATTAAAAAAAAAAAATATTTTTTAAATTATGTTTTATATTTTTTAATTATTATGTAATTATTTCTTCTTTAATTATCTTTAATTTAAAAGTCGTCTTAAAATTATCTTAAAAATTATTAACCTTTAGTAAAAGTTAAATGAACAGACTTGCTAATATTAAAATCAAAATTTTAAAATTAAAATAGAAGTAAATATCTTTGTTAAATGCTTCTGTTTTTTGTTCGAATAGTTATTCGAATACAAGACGTAAAACTATTTTGTTAATTTTATAAATATTATGCGATTTAATATACGTAAATATATTATGTAATCTAACTGTTAAAAATTGTTTAAAGTAAAAATTTAATTTTTTAAATTTTTTTTAAAACTTAATTACTAAATATTTAAAATATTAACAACTACTAAAAATAAATTTACTAAAATATAGTTAATAAATGTTTAAAATACTTTAAACAGTTTTCAATCATCATTTACAAATAGCATGGTAATTGCAACAAAAGCAATTATTAAAGTCTCAAGTAAAATAGTTTTCTTATCATAACTAAAGTAACATCGTCTAACGGTAAATTCATTCTTATATCTATGAATTTTAGGAAACTTATAAAAAATAGTCTTAACTATAATTAGTTTATCAGCAAGGGGTCGTCTATAAAGTACGTTTGCTTTTTTTTCAACTAACCCCCTCCCCCGCATTTTGTCATACGTTTTTTGAATACCCTCTACCTCCATAAAAGTACCTATGCTTTTAACCTACCAACCCAATATTTTATGATACTTTTTAAAATTTAATTCTTCATACTTTTATAATTGACCTACTGCCCCCCCCCATCTCATATAGGACATTTGCAAACCCCCTCTTCCTCTCTGAGCATACGTACTTAATGGATGATTCACAACTAGCATTTGTTTGTAAGTGGCTTATATGCCCTGCTCTGCCCTATTCAAAAAAAAAATGCCTTTAAATCAACTCCTTATATTAGGATAAAACTAAACAAGATAAACACAAATGATTAAAATGATGGTTGAAAAAATGGTGATTAAAAATCATTGTTGCGGCAAAGGTCTTAACTAGGGAAGGAGGAGGAGAGAGAGAGAGGGGGGACACAAAATTATCACACACCCCCTCTAATGATGCCGACAAAAAAGTGGTATCCCCAAATAAACTCTGGGTTACATATATATATATATATATATATATATATATATATATATATATATATATATATATATATATATATATATATATATATATATATATATATATATATATATATATATATATATAACTTTAAAAAAATTATAAATCCAAAACAATTAAAATAAATAAACAAAAGTGAATATAAGTAATACTGGCCACTTAGACGCTGTTTTGAATCTAAAAGGAAGTTCATAAATTAACAAACATCTAAAAACATCAAGATGGATAAAAGTTTCAAGAAAATATTTTAGTAATTTGCCAAATGAAAACAAACTTAAAATTTTAAATTATGAGCATTAAAGTCTGAAACAATTCACAAATAATAACTTCTAAAAATAAAAACTACTTGTTCTTTAAGTCTTGTTCCATTTGCTCTTGCTGTTGGATATGCATCAACTTCATGTCAGCAAGTTCTCCCTGAAACAAAGATATTCAAAAACTACAAAAAATAAAATACTAAAGAAAATTTAATCACTTACCAATACTACATTTGATGTTATTGTAACTTTCAAGTTAAAATAACATTAATAAAATACCCTTAAATGTTCTCCCTGTATCAAATAGATACATAAACACATACAACCCTCAAAATCTAGGTTGGCATTTGGCAATGTCAATATTAAAACTGAACTATCTTTACAATACTACAGCATATTAAAGCCAACCTGAAGTGTCAGCATACAAAATAAGTGTATGTATATATATATATATATATATATATATATATATATACAACCCTCGGAATTAGAAACAACGAGGTCAGCAATAAATTGCCGATCTCAAACTGTTAGAATTCGGCATTAGGTCGACAAAAAAAATTTGACACAAGGTTACCATAAAACATAGAAACGAGGTCGGCAATTTTTTGCCGACCTTAAACACTTTTAGGTTGGCAGTTAGATCGACATTGCAGAATGCGGACCCTAATCCCAAGGGATATATATATATATATATATATATATATATATATATATATATATATATATATATATATATATATACATATATATATATATATATATATATATATATATATATATATATATATATATATATATATATATATATAATCACGCTTAAAACATTAAGCGTGATTATATATCTAAAACACATTGTAATAAATAGTATTAATAAAAAAAGCAGCAAGACATGTAATAAATAAATAATATTTTTTATGTTATAATAACAAGCTTGCTACTAAGCTAAAACTTTTAAAAGACTGGTTTATTTCTTTTATTTAAACAATTCTGTTGAATGTAGGAACAGCTTCATCATATGAAATTCAGTTGTTTAGATTCAGTGTTTCATCTCTTACTAAATCTTAATAAATTCATCTCTTACTAAATCTTAATAAATTCAATGTTTAATCTCTTACTAAATCATTGCATAGCAAAATAAAATTTGTTTAACTTGGAGTCAGTTCGATACGACACTCTAAAGCTATACATAAATTCTTCAGATTTTGAGGGCTGTATATAAAAATAAATATCAAATATATGTTTATATACATACATATGCATACTATGTCAGCACAAATATATAATATATAACAAGCTATACATTATACCCTAGCCCCAGCTAACAACCTAATATTATTATATAGCAAGAATTAGGGCTGTATTCCTTATTTATACATTATACCATAGCCCCAGTCTATATATACCACAACCCTGCTAATATTATTATATAGCAAGAATTAGGGCTGTATTGCATATTTATACAGGGGATTACTTACTACTTCCCTCTCTTTTTTAGTAAAATCGTATTACATGCATACTTAAAACATATTTACAATAAAGGTTGATTTTTTTTAAAATCTTTTTTTAAATATAATTTTTTTTTTTAATATTATGCTTAATATATTCTTTAAAACCAGTTTTACTCTTTTAACAGCATAATAACAAATTTTCTTAACATTTTATTATAACAGCAACTAATTCTGAACAATCTTCCATTATTAATAAAGGTCTAAAAGGTCTGATAGAAGACTAAACGTCAAAAAAAATAAAAAATTATATTTTATTATATAATAAAAACTGTTAATAAAATTAACAACAAAGCAAACCATGCCAAAACATTTCTTTTAAGCTGCAAACACCAAGTATCCATGTTCCTATCCATGCGTACAAGGTCACTTTCACCATTTTGAGCTGATACCATGGCTTCAATTTCAGGAGACACTGCAACTAGACCTGTATTTAATTTCGACTCCACTTTCAATTTGTTTGTAGAACTGTTGTTAACAGGTGTAGTAGAATATTCTATATTTTAAAGGATAATTTTGTTATAGGTAACACACACACATATATATTTATATATAGGTAAGTAGTAAAAATTTAATTTGCTATCTTTTTACTACTTGCAGAAGATAGTGATAACACATGAAACTCAGAGTAGCAATATTTTATTGTACTATAAACATTAGTATTTAGTTAATTCCTGGTACTGTGGGTAACAGTAACATATATACAATAGTTTATCTATTGAGCACTCTTAAGAATACAATATTGAACATGATAATATAAACATATTTTCATTATTCACATATATAAACTTATATGTATATATATATATATATATATATATATATATATATATATATATACATATACATATATATATATATATATATATATATATATATATATATATATATATATATATATATATATATATATATATATATATATATATATATATATATATATATATATATATATATATTACATATACATAAAATGACAAACTATGTTCAAATTTGCAAAACAGAAACAAATAAAACTTATATTTTTATTTAGAGAATTAAGTAGATTGTTAATGTCCTACGACACTCCTACAACACTGTCCATGAAGTTCTAATACAGAATCAACCCTATCACAGACAGGAGCCATTGTCAAAATTTATAATTAAAACTTCTTAAAACCACCATAGTTTAGATGCCATATTTAGGTGGATGCAGTTAAGGTAGGTCAATACTGTTTCAAACAAACCTTAATAAAAAAATTATTAATCTTTTATAAGGAGTTAATCTTAATATATGATAAGATGCGCAATGTGCATTTATAAAATACTTCTTTTATTTTCTTTTAAATGTAACTTTTTAATTATAAAGGTTTAAAATGTGCCAAAGTTTTTTTGTTTTTTTTTGAAACCATCAGGATGATTTGTAAAGGTTAATGATGGAGAAGATAGCAGAAGTTCTTGATATTAAAGTAAACTCATTTTTGATAACAAATCCAATGACTTTATTGTTGACTTAAAAACATAAACAATGACTTTATTGTTGACTCAAAACTTTTAAAGTTTTTAACTTTTATTCTATACCAAATAAATTGAGAAAAATGTCAACAAATAAAATTACATCTAAAAATTACATCTAAAAAAGTTTCAAATACTGTACTGTATCAATAAAATTTGAAAATACTTTAACAGATCAGAACTATTAAAAACTTGTATGAACTTACAATCATTATTAGCAATATTAATGATTTTGAATTTTGAGAAGAAATAAATCTGCAGCAGCCTGCAAATTTATTTGGTACAGTCTTAAATGGAACCACTATAAATACTTAACAGGGTAAAAGATTTGTTTTTTGCTGTTTTCCGCTCCTCTTTGAAACTTTGTTTACTTAAAACTTTTTACTTATATACTCTCTTCAAATGAAATATGCAAAAAAATGTGCATTAAAGAAGAATTATATGTGTTATTATCCCATTTTTATTGTGCCTCATTGTTTTTACTTAAAAACAAAGTTACTTTACCAATATATTTTTCTGGAATGAAATCTATTTTTTGAGGTAGAAAAATTTATTTTTTTGCAGTATTTGAAAAAATGAGATTATAAATTCTTCTTTGAAAAAAATTCAATAAATTTATAAAGAAACTATGATTAAATGTACTTGAGCTTGTAAGAATAAAAAAAATTTGAATTTCATTTCTTAAATCAACTAAAAACATACATATTATTAAATATTTTCAGCCGGTTATTCATGCTCCTTTTTAGCAACAGGTTCAGATGACTTAGATCTTTTGCATGCTTTTTCTATCTTTAATTTTTTTTATATCTTCTTTTGCATTATATTTTGTTCTGGAATAAAAAAAATTGGAACTTCCGTTTCGTTATGAAATGCTGATGAAAGTATATAAAACTGTTGCTTCATAACTAAAGAATTCAGAATATAGTAACCAGGGGTGTAGCTCAAAATGTTATGCAATGGCTTTGTAGGGTATAGCTGGGTGTAGGTTTATATTTTCCTGTATTTTTATGATGTAGTGATGAATAGCTGTTGGCTTTTTAATTGGTACACAAGAAAATTCTAAATGAAAAAATAAATGTAAAAACATTTAATCAAAATAATAAACCATTTTATTTATACTAACAACCTGTATGATTACCTTGAACAGGAGCAGTTAGTTTATTACTGATAATGTTTTTACTAGATGAAGCAGCGTTTGAAAAAGTAGGAATTTGAAAACATTCAGAGCTTATGCATCTGAATTGGAAGCAGACTCAGAATCATTATCTACTCTAATACATCGCTCAAGATGAACATTTTTTATATTTAGTGGAAAACTCCTGTACCGCGAAAACCATTAAATATTTTTGATTTTGGTATAATTCTATCATTCATCAGTTTTAAAATTTTTACAAATTCAATCTCATCAAGCTTCTTGCAACCATTTTTTCTTTTCCAATTATTAACTTCTTTTTTCCATCCTAATTTGGCTGGTCCAAAAATTGATGTATTACACATTTAAAGAAGGTGAGTGCAATTTGAAGAAAAAGACACTTTGTAGATTCCCCAATCCTTGCACCATTTAAACAAATTAATGTGACTTGGATGACTGTCTAAGAATATAAAAACAGGACGCACAACATCTTTTGATTCGTCGTCAATTTTTTGTAATAATCTTTTGAATATAATCTTGCCATCTAGATTCAGTTTGAGTGAACAAAAAGTTGCTAATGACAGTTCCAGAAGCATATGCAAGATCTTCTATCTGTGTGAGCTTTTCTTTCAAAACAACCTGGGTTTTTAACATAGAATCATTCCCTCCAAAGCAATAGCAGACTGTAATGTTTTCTTTAGGCCTTGATGAATTAACTTTATAAACTGTTTTCACTTTCCTTGAGAGAACTTTCTTCACATATGGATTTAATTCAAAATTTGTCTCATCGATATTGTAAAAAGCATCTAGACAATCAAGTAAACCATTTTTTCTTAAATATCGGAAAAATTGTCCAAAAATTTTGTAATTCTTCTGACTGAAACCATTGCTGTCACTTTACTAATAGATTCAGGGCTACAAAGAACTATTTCTTATAAATTATAATCAGGATTTTTTATAAGGAATGATCTTACTGTTTTTTATTGTTGCTTCTTCATCAAAAGTATTGAAATTATTCATGTTTACACTACAAATTACATAAATTAATTAATTTAATCAAAAAATAAGTAAAATTTCTTAAACTTTTCTATTAAAATACCGCAAAAAAAAAAACTTTTTTTACTGCAAAAAACATTTTCATTGTTTACATTTTTAAAGTCGTTTATTAATTGAATAAACATATTTCCATTGACAAATAAAAAATATTAAAGATATTTATGTATTCTCAAATAATAATCATCATCATCAAAGATAATATCAATTAAGTGTAGAGTAAAATGAAAAACTTAAATCTCTTTAAATTTTATTTTACAGAGAAAAAAATAATTATGCAGTTAAAGCTATGCAGACAATAAATGTTTAACTTTTGTTTAGAATGGTTTTGTACACATTTTTACAGGTTTTGTGAGCTATTCATAACATTTCAAGAACTCTATAGCTTTTTTTCAAAAAAAGTGTATACCCAAAAAACACATACCACAAAAAACAAATCTTTTACCCTACTTGTAAAAAAATAATATAACTTAATAGTAATTCCAAATTTTCAATTAAAAGTATTACAATTTGTGATTTGTTAAAATATGACAATTTAATAAACGATTTAGTTGAAATAAAAACTAACATATGTCTAATAACTCTTCTCTAATTGGTTTCATCACACTGTAACCCTTGAAATTAAGGTAGGCATTCGACGATACTGGCCTAACTGCTGACCTTAAAGTGTTTAAGGTAAGCAAAAAATTGCAGACCTCGTTTCTATGTTTTATGGTAAGACCTGTGTACCAAATTTTTTTTGCTGACCTGATGCAGACCTTGAAAAGATTGAGGTCCAAAAAATAATTCCGACCTCATTTTTTCTAATTCCGAGGGTTGACACTGCAATTATTTTATTATATATACATTTATCTAATTAAATATACTTATTATAAATATTTATTACTACATATGTGTCCCAATAATAATTGAATACATAAAATATTTTATTATGTTTTTTTGTAGAAGATAAGCAATCCATTCTTGGCCTAAAAGTCTGTATTTTTATTTGGAAGACTTGTATTTGTAAAATGTTGGTGGCCTTAATATTCACCCCATGTAAAGGTACCTTGAAAGTATGCTGGTTCCATGTTCCAATATATCACAATACAGCACTGTTATTATTACATATTTGAATTTTAATACAAATTTAAATACTAAATTTTGTCTATAGTATTTGTCCATAGAATTAAGACTGGTATGCATTAGAGCTATTTAAATTTAAAAGGCATAAAAATAGTTATTTTTAAAAACTTTTAAAAGCTATAAAAACCTTAAAATCAGGTTTTAAGGATCATAATACTTTTACCTATCTCATAGTTCTCATACTTTTTTTTGGTAAATTGTGAGATAAACAAGGTTGAAAAAAAATGTGTTTTTTTATTAGAAAAACATTGCTTTTTTAAAAGAAAAACCATGGTTTTTTTTGTTTAAACTTTTATTTTGGTTTAATTTTTATTTAAAAATAAGCAATCTGTATTTTACTTGAGTCTTCCTTACTCATGGCAAAATAGCTTTCAGTATTAAACATTTTCTTTACTAACACTTTTCTAAATTAAATGAATTAAATTTTCTAAATTAAATAAAATAAATCATATGTAAGAAAATAGTTTGGTTTCACATGCAAACCTTACTATTGTCCTTGGACATTCACAAACTTAGCTAGCACTAGCTGACTTGTGTCAAACTTGTCTCAAATAAAACCACAACTTATCTTTTGTAACATAAACTGTTTCTGGATAGTAATACATTTATCTGTCTCAATTAGGGTTTGTAAGTTTACCCACTTTTTAATTTAACGGTAATTTTTTGAATATAACTAAAATAATACAGATATA